AGTGATAGGAGTCTATAGTTTATTAAATTTATTCAATTCATTAATTAGCTAGGTAGATAGCGTTGCGGACCTTCTCGATTGATCAGATAGTCCTATGGACTTTTAGATGCTCAAGCTTTTTAGTAGATTTTAGTATCCGCGTCCTAGTAATTATATGGTGCACTATAAGGAGGCTAATTACCTTATCTAATTCTTTATTAAATAAATAAATATCAATTTACTGGTATGTGGGTACGGTAACCAAATCAAATGTATCACTTAATTATTAGTCGATGAAAATACATAACAATGATTTTGCGGCTAATAATGATAATTATTATAATAAAATAAAACTTGTAAGCGTTACTGAGCTAAGCTAACCATCTCACTAAGCGATGTCAGCGATTTATTATCATTATCATCAATGTTTTACTACAATTACGTGTTTATTTATCTTACTAACCCGAAGATAGCAAGCCAGAACTTTAGGAATAGCCTCACAGACTTTGCTGATTATTTGATACATACTAGTTTGCGATATCTTATATTGATATCGAATACTATCATAAGTATCACCAGTGACCAAAAATCGAAGTGTTAACATAACTTGTACAGGTGGGCTGATAGCAATGCCATCTTGATTTGGATTTTCCTGCTCTAATTCAGGTGCTAACAAAGCCGATAAGTAACGAAAATCTTCAGGCGAAAGTCGCATCATATTTTGAAATGTTGTTTTGTCATCCAATAATAATTGACAGCATGACATGTAAGATTCTTCTATACGAGGGTTAGACCTACAATTGTAAATACCCGTGCACGTATCGCATTTAATAAGCAATTTCATCCCTTACTAATAAACAAACCAAACATTTCAATTCATTCATGCTTTTAAACATAATCGCCATGTTACGTAATCTTTGGAAAGCCTTGAAGAGGCTTACTAAATTATTTTACTATTTAACATAGATGTAGTTGAAAAATTCTTTAAATATTCTATTTCGTAGGGTTGAGCGCTGAATATATTGGATAAGAAAATTTGTATTATAAATAATTAATTTAAATTTTATTAGATTCAGCCAAATTTAAGGTTAATCTGCTATTGTCTATTAAACGCATTACATTGCAGAAATAAGCTAAAGATCATTTACGTTCATTGAGGCTGATGTCAATATATATATACAGTCTATTGAGCTTATAATAGAACTCAAAATTTTCTTTCTGATGCAATAGTGCTTACAACAACATCTGATTCATTTATCTATTTATACAGAGCATTGTCGAGTATATTTTAGTTCGTTAATTAACAAAGGACACTAATTTTCCTGTACGTTGCTTCCTATACCAAAATAAATAACTTAACGTAGACAACTCAACTCAAAAAATGCTCATATCTAAACGTAAGGTTTTACATCTTTAAAGAATTAATATGAGCGAATCTTTTGTCTTTAATTAAAGCTATACATAAGTATTTGCAAGAAAATTACAGTATAATGTTACAAATCTTAAAAGCATTATGTTAAGGAGGTAAAACAGATATAACAGATATATGAATATTAGCAGTTTAGGATAACAGCTAAAAAGTAATATCATAAGCTTAAATCATATCACCATGACCTACCGTAAAATGTAGGATCCCCCAAAAAAGAAATGTCAGGTTTTAAAATAATTGTTAGCTACGCTACTACTAAAGCAATTCTAGGATCAATTTTAAAATTTACTAAATTAATTTACCCAACGTATTAAAATAAAAAAATAGAATAGCGTGTTGAATTTACTGGTGCCGTTATTAAATGATATCAATACGTAAAATCGATTACCTGGTAGAAATGGTTGCTTGATCTACTGTTTGGCTTGATGATTCGACGTAAGATTTATTCCTAGCTTCATCATCTACATTGTATTTGATGAAAGCATTAGGATGAGCTATTAGCTATTCTTCGATATGAACATGACAGTACTATACAAGTCTATAGCACAGACCTAATTCAAGCTTTTTCTTAGCTTTGGTTGGCGTTTGTCGTTTTCTCTTCTTCCCTCGAATTTGACTATTTAAGATGAATAGGTATAATAGTAAGACGATTTTAATTTCATAATTGAACATGTTTCCACGAGCCAATATGAAGCTAATTAGCAAAGCATTCAAGATTAAATGGAACAGTAAAGGAAAATAATTTCTTCAATAGGCAAGCCAGCTGAATCGACTGATGTAGGATGCTACTCTGTAATAGGATTACCTTCCATCAGTTGAACTACTATCCTGTACCGCAGATTGCATCCTTTGGCATCGGTCTAGACACTAGTATAGTACAGAACAGGAGCATCTACACAAATTGTGTTTTATTTGTCTGGCTGTATTTGCAGGTATAATACGCGTATACTGTACAACTGTATATCTAGTGTACAAGGGTTAACGTAGTGCTAAGATATCCATGCCTTTGCACGGCGAATCAGTATTATTTGGATCAATTTACTTTATGTTATAATAACAAGTGGATAAACTGTGCTACAGTACTAAGCAAACTGGATGGCTTGTGAAAATACCGTGGTGAATTGATAAAAGCAGATATACACGTTGGTACATCATCACTGAGAAGGTAAAGAAACCTAGCAAGAGTGCTTCATTCTATTACACAGTGCAGTAATAAAGAGGAAAAAGCTAATTTCCCACTTTCTCCATGTGATAGTGTATGTACACAGCACAAGCTAAACGACTTCATACAGCTCCCTGTTTATGAGTTAGCATACCTCTGCAGTAACCTCCTCATCGTTATCTCCCTTTAGCGCCATTTTATAAGGCTTCATGTTAGTAAAGTCAAGTTATCACCTTTTCGAGACTATAAAACACAAAGATTCTGATAGATAGATACATAGGTACCGTATATAATTGGCTAGAACGGACAGTAAATTAAAGCAAGATGATCTCCTATCAAATCGTGCAAAATCAAATCATATCAATGCAAGTATAGCTTAAAATTGCAGTCTATTCCATTTCTTTTCTTCGGGCTTTGCCAGAATGTGAATGATTCTGCTATAAAATTACTTCCTTGTATCAAATAGTGTAAAAATTACATCCTATGAATGCGCAATGTAACTTGAAATTGTACCAAACGTGTATTCCGCGAATTTCCACGGTTTTCTCTAGAACGTGAAAGATGCTGCAGCAAGATGAGCTCCTTCTATCAAATCATGTTAATGCGAATGCAACTTAAAACTGCGCTATATTTCATTTCATTCCTACGGATTTCACTGGAACGTGAACGATTCTGCTTCAAGATGATCTCCTTCTATCAAATAGTGCAATAATCACACCATATTAATGCGATTGTAACTCAAATATGCACTATACAATATTCCCGAATTTTTCCATGGGCTTCGCTAGAACGTGAAAGATACTGCTACAAGATGGAGCTCCTTGTATCAAATCATATTAATGCAAATGTAGCTTAAACGTGCACTCTATTCTGCCGAATTTCTAAGGGTTTCACTAGGATATGAAAGATATTGCTGCAAGATGACCTCCTTCTATCAAATAGTGCATAAATGACATGATATTAGTGCGAATGCAACTTAAAATTACTCTGTATTCCGCCGAATTTCCACGGTTGCTAGGACATAAAAGATACCGCTGCAAGATAACCTCCTTCTATCCAAATGATGCAAAAATAATAATCGTTAAAAGTAGAGGAAGCTAATTTACTATTTTCTGAATGTGGTAGGGAATGTGCAGTTGTCATATTTTGTACTATTGCTATATTTAGGATGAGATCACTTCTCATTACACGATAGCTTATAAGTTCTACTAATTATGAAAGAGCATACTAAGTCATTCATTTGATTTCTCATAATAATCTGTAGATACTCTAAACTTGTTTACTTGTCAACAGGGTAAGAGAAGGCTATATAAATGAGCACATCTCTTACCTTAGATATCTTTCTAGTTGGTCCCTCCGACTATGCGCTATGTGCTTTGGATTTAAATGAACGTAGTTATTTAATTTCTTGTTTACCCTGTTCTCTGAGTTTATTAACCCTTGTTGCCATGACTGCCTAGTGGCAACAGTTTATTCAATCAGCTACAACTTTTTCTTGCGTTAACTCTTGTTCGCTTATCTCTGCCATCATCTCTTCCAAGTTGCACAGCTTGTTTTTGCAGTCCTTGATGTTGGTCAAAGTAATTCTATTGCTATTTCAAAGCAGCTATGTCTGAAATATATATATATATATGTTATATATATTAAATATATATAATAATATATACATATAAATATATATATAATATACATATATAAATATATATATATGTAATAAATATAACCTATATATATATGTACATCATATATAATCTATATAACCTATATATGATAATATATATATATATATAATTTCTTAAATATTTCTATTGTATTTCTTCAATTTCTTCATCATTTCTTCATCATCTCTTCCAAGCTGCACAGCTTGTTTTTGCAGTTCTTAATGCTGGTCCCGTTAGCGTACCTCCGTTACCATATTCATCGCCATGGTAGTTGCAACTTCAACAGTACTTTGACGCTACGTCTGTCCTTGACTACTTCTTATTACACCAGTCGTTGTTAGCATATCTTACCTAGAAGGCTGTTAAGGATATAACTCGCCATTGAAGCTTAGATATCATTTCCTCTTAGGCTAGCTAATGCTTTAGTACTGTATTGAGCGCTTGAAGTTAACTAAGCCTTTGCTCATTGCACCTCTTGTTTAACCTCTCTAAATTATCCAATTGCATACCAATTCCTTTAGCATTAAGTAATGTTTACGTACCTCTCCTATCATAGTATCCATACTGCCATCCAGCCGTCCTCCAAGCCATCAGTTATTCGAAGGCGAATTGGAGTGGTGAGAGGAAATCTTGCAGTTGGCAAATCCAAAAGTGCATGTTAAGGGCCTTTAGTTAGCCTTTCCAACATCGATTAAGCTATGCATCACTAACAGACTGTGCACTGGTTATTTTATGAGATTATCACCATCAATTCATGATTGAGGAGAAGATGGGTAAGCCTTATCATCGTCGAAATCGAAATATGAAACATCATAAAATGCAAGCAGCAACGGCAGAGGACGAGCCAAGCTATCCCGGCGAAGGTTGTATATTGAAATTGAGCTAAATGACCAATTGTGGCGATAAATGATCTTAATTGTGCATCAATGTTATCCCTGTAGACGTCGTTGATGAAGAAGAATCAGGATGGAATAAATTCCCGTTTCCTTTAGCCATGTGGGTAAGAGCACTGCAGCGATGATCAGTTCATGCAACTTGCAAATAGCATGTCACCATCTTCTTTTCTATTGCGTTGATATTATGGTGTTGACTGCTGATGCAATACTAACTGTTAGTCTGAATTGTCAAGATATAGATACGACTCTTTATTGAGTGTAATTATTTCAATTAAGTAACTTGTACTAGATATACTGTAAGTACATAAGAAAAGAGACAGTGTTGAAGGCTGTGCAAACTAGGCTAGAGGAAGAGAGTGAACGATGCGTGATTGCTTAGATCTCATCTTGTTACTCGTTGGTAACAACATATCGCTCGCTATTGATTGAGTTGATTTAGCTGTTGTTCCCTTACTCATTGGGAACTTTTATTCCCTAACGGAATAAATTAAATATAGCCAGATCTAAAGTCTGCTTGATTATTTATGACTACATCCCAGCAGTTTGGATAGACTGTTGATGTGAATTCAAATAGAATATTATCATGGATTTAGTATGCATCATAATGGTGCAAGGAGTTGATACATTACAATTTCATGCACTCTATTTGATTGCATTACATATAGGATTTTCAACATTGTGATCCGAAGAAATGCTCTGGCAGGAAATTAATGCGATTAGGCATAGTTCGCCAACTCAAAGTTTCAACGCGTTTTAATGGGATCGTTCTTAGTCCGGATGCATCACGTTATGTTTCACCAGAAGACGCCACTTTGATTGAAAAATTTGGTATTGCTGTCATTGACTGCTCGTGGGCCAAATTGCATGAGGTGCCTTTCACCAGGATGCGTTTTAGTAACTCTCGCCTGTTGCCATACTTATTAGCGACCAATCCGATTAACTATGGAAGACCTTGTAAGTTGTCCTGTGTTGAAGCTTTCGCAGCGACAATGTATATTGCAGGTAAACGATTAACCAACACATGTAATTATTGACAAGGTTGGACAATAGTTTTTGCATGATAGTCTATTAGGAGGATGATGACTTAAGATAGCTTATATTTGGATAGGATTTAAAGATTTTGCAGAAAGAGTACTGATGCCCTTCAAGTGGGGGAAAAACTTTATTGTTTTAAACAAGTATGTTGAATGTAATCATTGTTTATTCATCCGCTGCTAATGTTGGTAATATTGCATAAGTAACGGTAGTGGAAAGACCTAGACATGGCTATAGCATGGAATTGAATTTTTGTCGTAATATGATAGAGAATTATTAGAACAATATGCAAAATGTAAGACAGAAAAGGAGGTAGTCAAAGTACAGGAAAATTATATCCTGCAATGCGAGCAAGAACGCCGAGAACGGAAGAGTATTGGTACGTAAATTTCTCAAAAAGGACTTACAGGGTTATTTCAGTTTCCATTCTTTATTAGTAAAGTGTCTTTTGTTGTTACTTTATCCGTAAGCAGAATTGGCTATTTATTAAAATAAATACCCTTTTAAACGACAATAGATCCAATGGATATTGACTTGGATAAAGAATTTTGCAATCCTAACAGACCTGAATTAGGAATGCCATCAGCGAGGTAGGCAGTAGATTTACATCTTTCTCGATTGTATTCATTTTAAGGTAGCACCCATTCTGTTATAACTGTATGAATCCCTCTTTTAATCTATAGTTATGAGCAGATGTAACGATCTTAAAATTGAATTATTTAATTGGTGAAATTATTTTTTTGACATAATCTAATTTACATCAGCTCAAGCAGCGATGAAGAGATCAATGATGTCGCTGAAAAATTGGAAGGTGTTCTAGGCGAAAATTGTAAAAATGATTTGCCTGGTGCCGAAGCATCTGTAAATGAAAGTTAATAATACATAGCATGCTCTTATGTACATGTATATATCTCAAATTAACAAATTGCTTGGCTAGGAACACATTTTATTGTTGATGTAGCATTCAAGTATGGAATCATACTATAATGTAAATTTTTTCTACATTAATCAGTCACACAGACTTTGTATTACCATGTCATAAGTGTTTCCAAGTTGATAAATATGTATCCCTGTCAGACTACGAAAAAAAATCACTGCTACGATGCTTCTAAAGATCTAAACTTTCAATAGTTTGTCTAAATTTATTTCAATTCTTTCATTATTTTCCTGAATGATTGATTGATCTTGCAAAGATATATCATGCGTAGGACATTCATGGTTGAGAGATGAAACTGCCAGTAACGTATTCGAACTTTAACTAGACTAGCAATAAAACAATATCGAAAGAAGCTATGCTATGACACTTTTATTTATAGTTTTCACGATTACAATGCTTCCTTAATAACACTACCATTCAAGTCGCATGCATACGTCTTCGTATGACATTCCGGAAAAAGACTGTCAAAAGTGCTGCTTAATGTCAAGTCTATCAAGTCTCCTATACTTAAATTAATCATTGAAGCTTGATACGGTTTATTTTATTAATTCCCATCAGTATACAGAGCACAACGTAAATTTGTAGTATGGTCTGATTTATTATAAGATAATGAAATAAATTGATTATTATATCACTGCAGATGACTCAAGATACAATCCATTTTAATATTCCTGTATAATTTCAATTTATGTAATAACTGAATCAACGGAAGTCTTTCAAGCGTACAACACCAATCATATATATTATAGTTCATAGCAACCCGTTTGATATATTATGTTAACATTTCAATGATTAATTAGTACAGTATGATATATGCGCTAACAATCATTTTAGTCTATTACAATTTTTAGCTCTATTTGAGTCATCTTGATATAACTTTTTAAGTTACTTTAAATTACTGCATCAAATTAAGGTCAATAAATTTAAGCGGCACTTTTGCTACTGTCAATTGGAATGGAAGGATTATAATCCAGCTGGCTTGAAATGAAAGATATTAATTATTTTATGAACATATTTAGAAGTCATTGAAACAAGAGAAGCTCGCTATCAAGGTAACCATTTCATTTTAAATTTTAGATAGATCAAGGCAATGCAATAGCCTTATATGGAGGTAGTGACCTTCCAGTCAGCGTATTTTAAAGTGTTTGTAAAGCATTTACATAGGTCTAACCATTTCAATTTCTCTGCATAATGTATAATATCTATTACATATGTCATAAAAGGGATGGGATATAACGTACAACTTTATGTGTTTTGGAAAGTAGTGTACAATACAGAAAATTACGGTGTTAACGCTGAGATGGTAATTTTGTAAGTGTACATTCATGCACGCTAATCGCAAATAGATGAGATACATTATCAATCGATCGTTGAGTAAAAGGCCGCCAAATTAACTGTAGACGAGGAATAAATGTACTGGAAATCTCAGTTTTCATTCTTCTTAGTGGTATTGCCAATATTGAAATTGAAATACTCGTATGTACTGCACATAATTGCAAGAAGATGCTACTTGAAAGATCATTCGGAGTGTTTATCATATCTTGTACCCAGAAACAGCTAGCATCCCAGCCTTCTAATCTATTTTCTGCTTCTTAATACTCAAAGAAGCAAAATCAGCTAGTAACTGATTGACATGACTCACCTACAATAAATAGATATTTCGACAAAAGCGAAAACAGTCATTTGAAAAAGTATAAATTAAAAATACGATTTTCGTACAGCATCGCGATGTACTGTACTGTATATCTTTCTATATTGTACGCCTTTAGTGAGCAACAAATGTGCAGCATTACCTCTTTCGCTGTCGTTGAAATACTAATACGATTCGTGAGCATTTCAAGGTCATCTATATCTTTGTCGGTTGCATCTACATTCTTGGAGCTTTTAAGATAGTGCTTGAGCAATTTAACAACCTAAATTGGCGTGAATTCGTAAAGTATTTAGTGTTGTATTCCATCAACGCAAATAACATTCTATACTCGTACCTCCGTTAATTTTGCCTTTAATCCAGTTATATCGCATGAACAGCTTTCATCTTCATCTAATATACGTAAGTGCGATAATGCCAAATGTAGTGGTGTTATACCGTTAAAATCTGTAGCATCCACGCTAGTTCCTGGAATGACATAGCAAAAGCATAAAACTGATCGTTTTCTTAGAACTACAGTAAAAATAGGTTTCATCAACTTTAGTATTTCATTGATAAAATTTGACCACGAACCTGCGCCCATCAATGTAGTCAGAACTTCAATATTACTAGAGCAGGCAGCTGAAATTAACAATAGTGAGTTGTCTACTGTTCTCTTACATTAGTTATCGAAAGTATTTGACTTTAACAATTCCAATGGAGTGTATGATTTACCTAAATGTAAAGGTGTATTTCCGTTGCAATCACGTTGATGGACATCTGCCCCATTTTCGATTAATACCTTGACTGTAAATTTCATTTACTGTTAATGTAAGTATAGCACACACCGTACGATAGCAGCTTAAGCATAAAATTGAACAATATCTATTTGATAATGTCGTAAAGTTATTAATACTCGTACTTTGTACTGTTTCAATCAATAATGTAATTTTAAAATGTAACAAGATGATGAGAGCCCCAAATTGGAGTCTATGAGAAACAATTTGATCACGAATAACGTATACAGAGTAGTAGTATGGAAGTGATAGCTTTTCAATTTAGCAAACTAGAGTAACAAGAGTAATTAAGTGAACAGATAGCTACGATCTACAAGCTACTACTATAATAACACTTCCTCATATTTATATTACACCAATTTCATCAGCTACATGGTATAAACACAAGCATATTCCACCGCAAAGTTAGGATAAGACGATACCAATAGGATAGATTGGTTGCAATAGTCTTACCAATGCCATTATGGCCTAAATTGGCAGCGACGTGGAGGGCAGTTCTGCGTTTATCATCAGCCGCTCTCACATTAACACCACGATGAATGAGTTGACAAACTACAGTCAAAGACAGACATATCAAGCAATATTTTAAGCAACTTCGGCTGAAAAGACGTTGGATATACTGCAGTATAATCCAAAGTGACTATTGCTAATTGTACAATTACTTATAGATGGTTATTTACGGTAGGTTATTGCATTCCCTAATTTTAATTTACTCTAAACTGAACTACAGAACAACTATTCTAGTCTAAGTTGCCCGAGTTTTAACCGCATCATCACTATCTTTACATTGATTTCTATTTCATCGATGATACGATTCAATAACGATGCAATCACTTTACCTAGTTGAATATTTCCTTCAGTTGCAGCTCGTATTAGCCTTCTTTCCACTGTCAAAGTAAAAATGAATTCATCTGATCATCTCTACAATATTGACAACATGTCGTTCAACAATTACTCCAGCAGATGGCTCTTTTACAGCCAATTTGAAATTATCTGCAGTAGTAATGGTAATGTACTGAAAGCTTTGATACTGATTTTGCAGTCATTTTACATCAGCTATACGAGTATGCTCTTAACTCTGTTCTCTATGACTACATGGGTATCGCTGATTAGGCTGCTATTGACAATTTCGACTATTTGTATACGTAGAATAGCAGTCATGATCCATGATCATGACGCCTTTTACTGAATAAAATGATGGTAAGTGGTACTGATTGCTAAGGTACGAGCTAGACTAAAGCGATATAAACTATCTACTGCACTTTCTATCAATGCTGTTATCTTGACGAGGAATCCTAGTTGTCGCAGATTAGGCTGTTATTGACAATTTTGACTATTTGTACTCGTAGAATAGCGTTGATGATACAAGTTCTCGATGTCTTCTACTCGATAAATAGATGTTATATCGTACTGAAAGTAAGGGTACAAACTACACTAAAGCTTTACAAAATGTCTACGCCATTTCAATCAAGATTTTGATATAGACGAGGAATGATGGGTGTTGACGATCAGGACGTTATTGACAATTTTGACAACTGCATTTGTACTCAACATGTAGAATAGCATTCATGATACAAGTTCTTGACGCCTTTTGCTATGTCGTACTGATACAAACTGCCTACTTCACGTTCTATCAATAATTTGATATCGATGAGGAATGATGGGCTATTTTTGATTAAGACATTATTGACAATTTTGACTATTTGTACACGTAGAATAGTATGGATGCTACTAGCTCTTGACCCTTTTGCTATGTCCAACAGATACAATTGTATGTTCCACTTTCTATCCCTACTTTGATATAGACGAGGAATGATGGTATCACTGATTAGGACATTATGGACAATTTTTGACTATTTGTATTCGTAGAATAGCATTCCTGATACAAACTCTTGACGCCTTCTACTAGATAAACGGATGCTATGTCGTCCTCCACTTCCTATCAATACTTTAATATAGACGAGAAATGATGGGTATTGCTGATTAGGACGCGTTATTGACAATTTTGACTACTTGTACTCGTAGAATGGCGTTTCAGTCATGATAGAAGTGCTTGACATCTTTTACTGGATAAACGAATGCTATATGGTCCTGCTACAAACTTTCGGCTCCACTTGCCATCAATACTTTGATATGGACAAAGCGTGATGGGTATCGCTGATTAGGACGTTATTGACAACTTTGACTATTTGTACTGGTAGAATAATGATACAACTGCTTGACATCTTTTACAGGATAAAGGAAGGCTATATCGTGCAGATACAAACTCTCTGCTCCACTTGCTATCAATACTTTGAAGTAGACGAGAAATGATGGGTATTGCTGATTAGGACGCGTTATTGACAATTTTGACAACTTGTACTCGTAGAATGGCGTTACAGTAATGGTTACTAGTGCTTGACATCTTTTACTGGATAAATCAAAGCTATATCGTCATGCTACAAGCTCTCTGCTCCACTTACTATCAATACTTTGATATGGACGAGAAATGATGGGTATTGCTGATTAGGACCCGTTATTGACAATTTTGACTACTTGTACTCATAGAATGGCATTACAGTCATGATACAAGTGCTTGCCATCTTTTACTGCATAAACGAAACCTATATCGCCCTGCTACAAACTCTCCGCTCCACTTGCTATCGATACTTTGATATAGACGAAGCATGATAGGTATCGCTGATTAGGACATTATTGACAACTTTGACTATTTGTACTCGTAGAATGGCATGACAGTCATGATACAAGTGCTTGACATCTTTTACTGGATAAATGGATGTTATATCGTAATGATTGATTGTAAAGGTAGGTGATAGAAGAAAGCAATCCAAACTATTTCCTCCACTTGCAACTTACTATCAATACTTTTATATGGACGTGGAATCTTGGATCGGCTGGTGACTTTGTACTTCCTCTTATAATATCGATCGTGCACTTGAATTTTGGTCAGGACTTCATAAGCCATATCTTCACCACTTGCCAGTTCGTCCATTCTCTATTATTTCAACTCCTCTAATTCCAATTCACTTTTCACACCAATAGCATCTACTCCGATAAGTGTTGAACCCTTCAAGATCTTTTCTCCTTGGCTGTAGACGATTAATCTACAATCTACTGTAGACTGCCTAAGTGCATCTGCAACAATATCAATCGTTTAAATACAATATTATAATTGCCGTTGAAAACTCATGGCTATAACTGTTGTAATAAGCCGATTTTCATCTCTCAATTAGCCCTTGCAGACACGATGACAATTAAGGAAATCAACTTGCAATTTTCTACTCCACATCAAGTCCAAAAAATGCCTAAAATACCCCCCAAAAGTCGCGACCACTGTCTAGGTCTAGGCGAGCACTGTCGCCATTTCCAGCGTTGCTAGGATAGTTGAAAGGATTGTTGCAGCCTAGTAGGCTATTTTTGATGACCCGTTCATGAGTGAGCATCGCATACTAATCCTAGTTGATTTATGATCGGCGGTCGTCGATGGTGGAATTTGTCCTTCGTAGGCAATGGAGCTTTAGCTTAGGCAAGGTTGTGTATAACTAATGTCGCAAATTGCGGCATAATAGCCAGTGTAAGATTTAGAATAGACATGGTTGTATACGACATCTATTTTACTCGCTATTTTGCGAGCATAATCCTACATGAATTGTAATAAATTTATCATTCCTAATCATTCCAATCCATCAATATGAATGATACAGTAGGTTATTTAGGATTGATTGCAGCCATTGCAATCTTTCTAGCGGTTATACCATCATCATGCGGATTTTAAAGTTTTGCGGTCTGCATGCATGAAGACTGTGAGCTATCTAAGTACACTACTGACCACCACCCAGTGTTTCGACCACTATACTGTAGCATGGCCTAAACGACAACAGTTTGCAGGAAGCTGGATAACCTTAAGGTCAACTACCCAATCATGACTACTGCCCCTGGTAGATGGCAAGGGAGTAGAGGTTGGATTGCCATTTCAATATGGCGTTTCAGCATCGCTGAAATCATTTGCAAATTTGCAAACTTTCTCCCAACTTTTAACTTATTATTGGCAGCCATTGCATCGATGAAAGATGGAGTTTCATTCTCGACGTTCTCCAGATTATCTGTCGCCATGGATGTGTAGCAAGTAGTCAACCCCTTGCGAGTCAAGTAGGCTTGGAGATTCTACGCCAAGGTGGTAATGCTGCTGATGCTGCAGTTGGTGTGGCCGCGGCACTCAATGTCACCGAGCCTTGCAGTACTGGCATCGGAGGGGATTGCTTTTGCTTGTTTTATCATGCAGGCAAAAAGCAAGTGCTTGGATTAAATGCCAGGTTAGGCTAATATTATTACATTGAGAGTACTGTAGAGAGAGAGTAGAACGTCTTGCAAGAAGACGTTCGATTTCGACTGCTATCCTTAAACCATACGATGATTTATCTCTTCATCCAATGTCGTCTTGTGTTTTTGCTGGTTGGATGACAATGTATTTTTGCTTTTTGGATGATAATGATGCTAGCATAGAATAGGAGTATAGTATTTTTGCTAAGATGGTGCCACCTCCCTCTACAATGTCGTGTTGTATTTTTACTTGTTTGATGATAACGATCCTAGCATGGAATAGGAGTAGTGTGAGATTGCTAGGATAGTGTCTAACATTCTTGCATTCAGCAAGGATAGCGCAACGTCTTAAGAAAGTGTCATCATTCTTACTCTACTCTTCTACCACTAGACTTATTCAATAGGATGATCCACCTCTCTCTACAATGTCGTGTTGTATTTTTACTTGTTTGATGATAACGACCCTAGCATGGAAAAGGAGTAGTGTGCGATTGCTAGGATGGTGTCTAATATTCTTGCATTCAGCAAGGATAGTGTAACGTCTAGAGAAAGTGTCATCATTCTTACTCTACTCTTCTGCAACTAGACTTATTCAATAGGATGATCCATATCTCTCTACAATGTCGTGTTGTATTTTGGCTTGTTTGATGATGACGATGCTAGCATGGAATAGGAGTATAGTATTTTTGCTTGCTTGAAGCTAACGATGCTAGCATGGAATAGAAGTAGTGTGCGATTGCTAGGATGGTGTCTAACGTTCTTGCATTCAGCAAGGATAGCGTAACGTCTAGAGAAGGTGTCATCATTCTTACTCTACTCTTCTACAACTAGACTTACTCAATAGGATGATCCATATATCTCTACAATGTCGTGTTGTATTTTGGTTTGTTTGATGATGACGATGCTAGCATGGAATAGGAATAGCGTGCGACTGTTAAGATGCTATCCTAGATCAGGCTAACAATCTTGCATTCAGAATGGATAGCGTAACTTCTTGAGAAAGTATCATCATACTTACTCTACTCTTCTACATCTAGACCTATTCAGTAAGATAATCCATATCTCTCTACAATGTCGCATCGTATTTTTGCTTGTTTAATGATAATGATGCTAGAATGGAACAGGAATAGCGTGCAAATGCTAAGATGGTGTCCTAGGTCGGGCTAACATTCTTGCATTCAGCAAAGATAGCATAACATCTTGAGAAAGTATCATCATTCTCACTCAACTCTTCTACACCTAGACCTATTCAATAAGATGATCCATAGCTCTCTACAATGTCGTGTTGTGTTTTAGCTTGTTTGATGATAATGACATTATAGTGGAATGGAAGTAGCGTTCAATTGCTAAGATAGTGTCCTAGGCTTCCGTGTCTTAATTAAGTTAAGCCAACATCCTTGCATTCCGCTAGGGGAGCGGGATCAACATGGATCTGGAAGTTCTAGAGTCAAAAATAACTTAATATTGTAGGAGTCGGACATCCATGCTGATCCGGATGATCCATCTCTCCATAGAATGTGTTTTGGCTTGTTTGATGATGTTGATTGACATTATAATGGAATAGGAGTAGCTTGCGATTGCTAAGATAGTGTCCTAGGTCTCCAAACAGTTAATATACTGTACAGTACTGTAATAGTGCCATTTTAACTTTCAAGACCAATTACGACAGTATCTATAATTTATTTATACGCCCCCCCCATTTGCATAAGATTAATATACGAGTATTCATATTTACTTTAGTGGTCGTTGTCCTGCTGGTCTAAACATCAATGTCTTGGCAGAACAGGGCATTACCGACAAATTGCCATGGTTCAGTCCACATGCAATAACCGTTCCAGGCGCGGCTGCTGGATGGGTTGATACGGTAGAAAAATTTGGTAGCGGTAAGGTGAGTCAATGTGAAATGCTAATAGATCCATTAGACATCGAACACCCCTACCAGTTGCACAGTCAATAATGCTGAAATGACTGTTTACAATTCTTTAGACCACAGTAGTATGTATATAAATACAGTTATACTCTAAACTGCTATACGTATTATGATAGAATGCAATTGATCATGATTATGGAATTGCAGCTCTATATTCAAAGATCCAAATCGATCGACACTCCACGCATTGTACCAGACCAATCCACATGATTTCAAAAGATACTCACGACCTTCCTCGAACATGCTCATCCATTTAGACTATGGAGGTCTACATCTTAGTTGAATAGTGATATTGTAACAAAATCAGTCCATCTTCATCGACATCTGGATTCAACAACTTACCTTACATAATGTTCTGAGTACAGTCACGACAATTGAATCGATAGTGATGCTATTCTTATATGCTATTTATTTCTGAACTATAATTGCTGTTAATATTTTGTACTACAATATATATACAATGGCTATGGTAATGAAAAATAAAATTGTTTGATTTATAGCTGGATTTGGGACAAATTTTACAGCCAGCTATCGAATTAGCAGAATATGGTTTTCCTGTTCATCCGGTCGCAGCGCATCATTGGCAGGTTGGAGCACCCTTATTGACTAATCCAAAAAATCGTTTTGGTTACGAAATGCTTTTGAACGGTAAACCACCTAAGGCTGGCGAAATTATGAAAATGCCAAATCTTGCACGGACTTTTAGGGTTGGTTATGCTATGATAAGCAATAGTATTCATATCTATCATGCGAATTTGTTTATGTGAATAGCAGTACTGTGACATCAAAGTTGGGTTTTGATCAATGAACGTTGCTGTAGGAGATCATTTCTTGCAGAATGGTAGTATTATATATGTCCATCAAAATATTTTAATCCTACAACTATATATGGAATAATGTACCAAATAACTTCTGATCGGTACATCTACAGTATAGGAAATCATTTGACACCTTATTAATTAATTAATAAGTTGATAAGTTTTGCCCCTAATACAAAATTAATATCAATCATATAGCCGCATATGGAATTCTGTTCACGGTACGGTATAAAGTTACTGAACCTCTCTTAAGTGAGCACATTATCGTAAACCGTCAGTAAAGCGACGGGAGCTTGCACTAATATATATATATATATATATATATATTATACAGTATGAATGAGTGGGTAAGAGTGTTCCACATAGCTAAAAATGGAGAGTTACTGTAAGATTAGAGAAATGCGGTACGTATATCAGTATATGTCATACACTCTACTACTACACAGTACACGGTATAAAGTTACTGAACCTCTGACAGGTCTACGACAAATGGTAATACTATCTGTTAAATGAGCACATTATCGTAAACCGTCAGCAAAGCGACGGGAGTTTGCACTAGTAATTCATGATTAGTGAAGCGTAGGAATTATTTAACTTCTTTTAGCAAGTTTTCTCTATCATAACATTTCAATCCTACAAATGAAATATTGTTCAAGTTGATGCTTGATCAGTTTCTTGTTGGTAATTATTTGACTCTTTTATAATCATTCAGTAAGATTTATCCCTATCATAATATTAATTTTAACCTTGTATAGATTCAGCTTTAAGATGACTCTTGATTTGTACAGCGTAAGAAATCATTAAACTTTTATAGTATATAATAGTAAGATTGATTTATATCATATGTTATTATTATGAGTAGAATAATACCCGAGGTAATTCTTAATCATCAAATAGTATATCTTTCAATACTTACAGTAAATTGAATAAGATTTATCTCGATCATATCATTGTAATTGTGTCTACAATTGAAAATAATACTTCTACGAGGTAATTCTCGATCAGCTAAGCTTAGGAAATTATTCAACTCCTTATTGTTAAGCGTTCATCTCCGCTAATTTTATCAAACATTTTCTTAATTAATATTACTATTAAATAGGAGCTAGCCACGCAAGGGAAAAATGGTTTTTATAGCGGACGGATAGCTAATGCGATTGTTGACATTGTAAAAGAACACGGCGGTTTAATGACCCTCGACGACCTATCTAGTCATTATAATACTTTCGATGACCCCATATGTGTCAATTATAAAGGAATTAATGTATGGGAAATCCCGCCTAATGGTCAAGGCATTACTGCTTTGCTAGCGCTTAACTTGCTAAAAGGATACGATTGGAATGGTATGCAATTTTAACTTCCAGTGTCTCAAAATAACGTCAATCTTGTTATATAATATCGATAAATATTATCATCCTTACATTTCCATATTTCACCTTTGACTAGGTATCGAGCATAACAGTACTCAGTACTTACATACTTTAATCGAAGCAATGCGCATAAGTTTCGCTGACTCGTCGTGGTATGTCGCTGATCCAGAACAAGTCAATATACCTATTAAGGAATTATTGTCCAATCGCTATGCTAATGAACGACGACAGCTAATAAAATCTGATCGGTTAGCAATCATTCAAATAGGTGTAATAATAGCGTTATCGTAATGAAATTTTGTCGAGATAGGAGTAAAGTAAAATCGGTTTAAATTGCGTAACCTGAAGATAAAACAAACTTGGCTTATTATTTCTACTACTAAAAGCGAGGCTGTAAGTCTGTAACTAATACTGGATCATCGTTACATAAATTCTAGGGCTACAGTATCAGTTGAAAAAGGGAAACCATTCAATTGTAGTGATACAGTTTATTTTGCAACAGCTGACAACGAAGGCAACGCATGTTCATTTATTAATAGCAATTACATGGGTTTTGGAACTGGCATCATTCCGGAAGGTTGCGGCTTTACATTACAGGTTAGAAATTGGATATATTCCTTTTATATTTCAACTGCATTAATGGAGTATTCATTTTCATTTAATACTGATATTATTGGAATAATTCACTGTTGATGTCCTGTACAGAACCGTGGATCAAATTTTTCTTTAGAAAAAGATCACCCGAACATTTTAGCACCTCGGAAAAGACCTTATCACACAATCATTCCCGGAATGGCGACATGTGCATCTTCTGGCGATCTTTACGCTAGCTTTGGCGTGATGGGTGGCTTCATGCAGCCGCAAGGACACGTGCAGGTAGACAACGCTATATACTGCTTGTATCTGTATCATACATCTTTTTGACAGGATTGGGTTTTGGCAAAATTACATATATTTGCTCTTGTTCGCTACGAAATCTTAGGTAATGTTGAACATGATTGACTTCGACATGAACCCTCAACAGGCCTTGGATGCCGCAAGATTTTGCGTTGGAAGTGGGCATAAAGGAAGCGCCGGTGGAGTTAATTTAGAAAAAGGTTTACCGTGTGATACCCGTGATAATTTAGCGGATATGGGTCATGATGTAAGTGATCTAATCGAAGGGCATGGACGAGCGCTATTTGGCCGAGGACAAATCATCTTAAGGAAAGAGGATGGCAACGGTTGTCGCACCTGGTGGGCAGGCTCCGATCCAAGAGCGGATGGATTAGCCATTGGCTATTAGTAACTTCCTGATTAAACTCTTAGTTTAATTTATCTATAAAGGGAATCACTTGTATGATTTTAGGATCTAGCAACCCTAGAATATCCAATTAATCAACTCTTACATGCATTACACGAGTACTTTCTTCATTCTTAAATGAATATTACGTTTTTTTAATTTTATTTTTATAACTTATACAATTTTAAGAATTACACTACCAGTTATCCTTCGTTTGAATATAATTTTAAAAAATATTAAAATTGCTAAAACTTGTTTTATCTCCGATAATGCGTGATTGAAGTTTTTCTTAGTATATTTTGATCAATTGATCTTAATTATAGCACGAACTTGAACTCTTTCATTGTAAATGCATGAACTATAAATTATTTCATTCACTTAGTATTACTACCTTAAATTGCTGCTAAAACCTGGGCTTAGTCAACCTTATCTCCATTCCATAGAAGCTTATATTTAAGTGCAATAAACATGTTGTAACAAGTGTAATTTATGCCAGAATTAACCTGACACAACAAAATTTTATCTTATTAGCCCAAGTTTAGGTTTTTAACCAATAGCTGACCTACATGACCATGAAAGATACAGCATATCTAAGAGTTTACGCAAGCTTACGAATATTACGTTCATAAATGATATACGCTGCTCTAAAATAATTATAGATGTCAGTATTGGTAATATGACATAGTTGAACACCATTAGTGCATAGACCGCAGAGTAATTTAAAAGAATTAAAATTTTTCTCTATATGATAAATGTATCATTAATATGTAATTATCAAATCACTTTTTATACGAGTATATAGGTCATAAGCAGAAAAATAATGTTACACATGATTTACATCCACAAAGTGTACAGTCTATCGTATCATTGACAACCTTTATGGCTTACGATAATAACACTATAGTAGAAAGATAAAATGGAGAAATATAACGTAATAAGTTGTTTTATAGGCATGAAAACGGTATGTTTTGAGGCATTTTGGATAGCGTTAGAGTAAGATTGCTTCCACCCCGTCGGATAATAGCAAGTGCACTATGGACAAAAACAGAGACATTAATTTTACTCTAAAGTTCTATATACGAATATAAGTTTTACTAGATAGTAAATAATTAGCTAGTTCGAAAAAGACCATGATGTATGCTCAATCTTATCTCTTAGGGTAAAATAAATTATTATATGAATAGGTAGTTTTCTTACAGAAGTAAATTACCTCGAATACTCGACGCCAGATAAACTGATGCCGTTAACAGCTATGATTTTATCACCGGAGCTTATACGATTACCCTATTTAACAAATGGCATGTCAAATATTTCAATTTTACTCCCACATATACGACTCTAAATTTTAAATTATTGTAACATAGTAGCATATGATTTTATTACTCTAAGAGTGATTCTAGGCAGTAGTGACTCTACTACATTCTCCCTGGTAGTAACAAAATCTTTCCAAATGGGTATCTGAAACTTTACCTACCGATGATGCAATTCCCTCTGGTTTAACCTCTGCAACAAAGACTCCCTCTTTACGAAATACGGATTTCTAATTTTAAAATTAGATAAATGTAAAGTCTTATTGAACTGCGTAAAATTATAGTCTATTAATTCATTTACTAGAAATAAGCAATTAGAATTATAGATTACTTACAGTCCCGTCTACAAGTCCTAAACCTAAATCACCATGCCTTTTGTGTAATATCACAGTAGTCACTTCACGATCCTCAATTAATTGATCTCGGACTATTAAATCGTGCTTGGACTGTGCTGACGAAATATCGTTTGTTTCGCAATCGACGAATATTTCTTTGTCATCGCGAATTGGACTTTCATCAATCTCGGCAAAAATAATATCATCTATATCCGTCGAATTGGCGAATAAAGACGTACTGTCTGATTTTAGCCACTGTTGTATTCTATTACTATTAATCTTAGGAGTAGATCCATCGCTGTCTGTTAACTACTCAAAGAATAATCCGAATTATGCGTATGTTACGAAAAGCTATTAAAGATATGCACATCAATATCACTGAACTGATTACTCAAGATAATATACCTTTTTACTTTTGGTGACTTCTGGACGAGAATACTTTGACTTTATTTTTTCACATCTTTTATCATTACAGTCTTTAGACACTTTAGATCCACCATCGATCACATTGCTATTTTGCAGTACGGTACTCTTATTAGTCTAGGAAATGGTTATAAAAGAAATGGTTAACATCTTTAATACTTCTACTGCCGCTTCAGTATCAGAATAAGACAATCAGCAGTAGTTGATCAGATTATTTTTATAAACGTGTTTACCGTTTTGGGGAAATACCTGTTTAATCATATCAGCATTTCTACAATCTTTTCGTCCATCATAAGAAACTTGCTCCAGGAACATTTCCGGATCATACTCGTAAGAAGAGCGACGAGAGTTTGTATGCGTCAAATTATCACACATTTTCATTAAAGCATCAGTGATAGAGCTGAAGAATCAAAAAATAATGTTACGGCTGCGATATTTTTGATATAAGTTATTAGCTATCGCAGAAAATTCCAGTTTTCAAAGATATGGATATGAGAGAAAACGCAGAAATGCTGCTCATAAGATAAGTATCTCGCTATATCTAAAGTAGTTTCTGAAGTTAAAATAAATTATAAATGCTACATAAGAGGAATAGAGAGCACGTATGTGTTTAGTTATAACATAAGTGATGAAACAGAGAAGCTTATTTTATGTAATTCTTTTCTAGTCGTAATTTACCTTTTGCACTTAATTGAAATTTTTCTACTTATTTTTTTCTCAATCTGATCCATAAATTTACTTTGATCCATGGATGATCTTCTTTCTGTTTTAATGAAACATTGGGTTATTTAGCCGACAATTTAAATGAAACCAGATGGAATAAAGCTATTGCATAGACAAATACGAAAATGTTAGAAGTAATTACAATAATTACCTCGAGAAGCATTATTTAGGATTTGGATATTTTGATACAGCATCCCTTCTGGGGGATCACCATCTAGATTAACGATATAATCTTTGGCCGGTAATGAAAAGAATTCATTTATTTGCCATGGTGCCACAAGTTGAACTATACAAAAAAGATAATTTTCGTTACAGATGCTGAAGAAAGCAAATATAGGATATAAACAATTATAAGAAACTGAAATGCTACCTCACCTGTGCTTAAGACTTCTTGTGAGACATGCTGAGGTGGTAGCCAAAGCATAGGAGGAATGACATAGGAATTAAATTGATGCTTACTCATGAACCAATGCAGCTGTGGTGCGGTGAGTTTGTTATAGGTAGATGATAACTTCTCCCATGAAGACTTTTTATAATAGCAAATGACAAAAAAATCCGTCAAAATGCATTCATAATATCATCATCGTTTGCATTTAACATTAATTTGGGGATAGTAACGATTAAATCAAAGTTCTATTTACTTGGGTATTTATTTAAAAGCCAAACAATTATACTCGTACAGCGTATTGGAATGAAAACTATTACCTGAAAGAGATGTTGTGGTATTGAGGCTAATAAATGGGCAACTTGAATTGCAGATCCCATTTTATCCGTTGCCAAGTAATTAAGATCGACTTGATTAGTCCAGTTTAGAATGTTATTCAAATTTTGTTGCAAGGATATACCGTGAGATTGATCATAATTGCCGCTAACACCATATTTTATAGTAATGTCTAAAATCTTATAATTGAGGAATTCCAAGATGTTGGATAAACAAGCATTTCTTGCTTCAGGGTGTAAATCGTAGAGAGTGGATAAGTCATAAACTGCATTAAGAATTGTAGCAATGGAAGAGAAAGAGATATTTCGAAAAATATCAATAACATTTCCAGTCAGGGAATTTTTTTCTGACGAATAATTAGCAGATTCTGAAATACTTTTGCGCAAAATCTACAAAAGGAAAAGCAAACCTTTAATATTACTTTCAAAACAGATCAAATTATAGATGATTTCTGCCAAACTAAGTAATTATTATATGAAGAAATTGCTCAGCTCTATTGATTAAGCACTTACTTTGATTATGATGGAAACAATTTGCGATAAAGATTGTTGTGAAACATTAGTTAGCAAATGAAAATCATTGCTTTTAACTTCTTTAATAAGAGAATGTGTATTGACAAAGTGCAATACTTCTATGGTATTTGCTATCCATAAAACGAGATTGGATAAAGTTGGTAGTACCGCATTTAATTTTTCAGTGGCATCCTTTCCTCTAAATGTGCGAAGGAATCAGAAATTTTAATTATCTGGCATTTCACAACTCAGCTTCTATATTCTAATCGATAATCAGCTATGAGCAATTTGAAGATTTTTGAGCCAGATAGTATGTTAGCGATATTACGATATTAAAAATTCGACTATAAAACTTTGATATTTGCACCAGGCAACTTTCCAATTTAAATTTGTTGATATTTTGAGATAATTAACTACTATCGATATGCAATAGTTTTGAAGATACTGTGTAATAACCTCACTGCGACTAGCATACATTATTCTATCCAAGCCATTACATACTGATGCTTTAATAGTTTTATATTATTATTCAGATATTCGGGAATCAAACCTTGGGAGAAGCTGAGATTTAAGAGTAGTTATGGCCTCCTGCAAAATAGAAGCGTGATAACATTTAATTTTCGTCATTTTGTTATGATATAGCAAAGCTATAGATTGATTAATGGCTAATAATGTCTGTAGATGGTGCCAATCATTTCATCAATATCAAACACTATTTAACGAAAGATATGAAAGTACGAAGTAGGAAAATATAGCCTTGTACAGTTATAAAATTACCTCATTATTATTTTTTAGCATTTGATATATTTTGTCGGTAAACAGTATGGTGGATTCTTTGCCATGATTTTTAATGGAATATTCTAAGCTCATAGCAAGGACATATGCTGGTGCTAACTTGAACGTTTGAGTCATTGCCGGATCAGCTAAAATATTGATAGAAGATAATAGCTGATTTTCCTGTTCTAGACCATATTCTAATTCCAGTCGGTTATCGTCCTTCGGTGATGAAGGTTCATTTTGGTTAATAAACGAAGGTATGTAGGCTTCGTTTTTCTCAAAAACGGAACCATCAAAATCTAATTCGTCTTCAAAATTCGTTTGAGTTTGGATGCTAACCTTGGGTATGATCTATAACGCAAATTGCAACGGGAAAAAAGCTATTAGCATAATTAATTTGGAAATTACTTCTAAGAAATTACTCTATATTAACCCTATTGGACAATACCTCTGAAGATGGATTAGACTGAGTTGGTGCGGGTGCTGGAATTGAATTTAGCCAAGAAATTTGCAATGCCGAATCTGAAACTTTTTTGGGATTTTTATAGATGAACAAATAGTAACGTCCGAAGCCAATTAAATCCCCTGGCGTAAGTTTTGTTTCAGCAACAATCTTGACGTTATTAACAGTTACTAGGGCGCCTTCGAATGGACTCAGCCAGACATCAGTTACAGCCTCACTAGAATCCGAGTCTTGATCATCTGAAATCTAAGTAATAAGCTGCAAGTTAGCTAAATGCATTCTACACTATCCTGATTGGGTCGATTTAAACTTAAGCTACCTCGTGCTGATCTTCATTAACGGAACGATTGTAAATCCAGCAATGCTGTGGTAAGATATCAGGTGATCGAAGAAGAATTTCATTTTCGGTTGTACAATCGCCACTGTAACGAAAGCAAACTAGTATAACGCGTTGTAATATATTATAAATATATTCATCTTCTTTTAATTCAAAGCCACGTATCATGACAAAATGAGGACATTGGGAGGAGGATTTGGATAATTTACGCGAAGGTGGTGTTGGGGTTTCATCATCCGATTTTATACGATCGGATTGAATCCCTTCATCCTGCAGTTGTTCATGTTGTGCATGGTCTTGTTGCTGTTGCGTCGATAATTGAGCAGGATAAACCATTTCCAATACATTTTCATGCGAAGAAAAACTCTTTACCAGCCTTTTCCGTAAATTTTCCAATCCTGTAGAGGATTCGAAATCAGCTAGGTATGCTAAAGCATCGGTTTTCCACAACAGCTCAAAACGCCGTTCATACTCTGGTGCTACTTGCCAAAATGTTTGCAATGCTAGTGGCTGCTCATAGTCATCAAGTACTCTAAGGTAAAGGGGCTGAGATTGATCAGATTTACTACCACTGTTGCCTTTACTAAATCGCCGACTTGTCTTACGATCTTTAGCCGAATAGATTATTTCACATAAAGCGTAATACTTGCGATTAGTAATGTCTAATTTTAATCTTTCAATTGCTTCTTTAATCACTTTTTTAACATTCACACGATTTGAAATCATCAAGGGTTCGGGTCGAATGCCATTTGTCACATTAATGTTAGCATATAAGCGAAAGATTGAAGGATAAAATAGTGAATTATCACCTCCATATTCAGTTACTGGAGTCTTCTTGCAGTTAGAAGTAGCTTTGCTAGACATAGACATGGTTCTGCTGCTCTTAGAAAACAAGGCAGATAAAGATGATAGCCCTTTCTGCTTCCCTTTACTTTTCTTGCTGTTGAAACTGCCTTGATCCGTAAAGTAGCTTCCTTCTTCAGGCGATTTAAGAGTTGGTGAATCTGTTCCGGCATCTTCGGTGCTTCGAGTTCTAATTTTAATCGAACCGATGGAAATTGGACGACTACTTGATCTTACTCGTGAAATACTAGTCTGTTTCACAGCTGCGATAGCCTCTGCAGGCTTATTCGCATTAGGGTCGGACATACTTCTTAATCTCACTTCGCTATCTGGAAAGTATGAAACTTAAATTAAATGAAATTCTAATAGTTAAATTTATATTTTACCGACTAATTAGATTGATAGCTGATAGTTGACTTGACGAAAGAATGATTCAATAAATAGTTGATCGTGTAAATAAATTTATTTGGTGTAATGAAGATCTACCATCTTGCCCAATAGAGATACATTCGGCCAGATCTCAATTTCTCAATTTTATTTACACAGGTATAAAATATTGCGAGTATTTATAATTTCTGAGTATTGTGGTAGTGATAAAGTATATGCTATTATAAAATGCTATGCTGTATCTAGTCTAGATAAGTTATTATGGTACTTACATTTAAAATTATCTATTGGTGAACTCTTCTGCTCGTCACTACTCGCTGTAGGCGTATAACCAGTCAATTGGAGTAGAAATTGAATCTCACTTTCAGCGCTAGTAGCTAAATCCAATGGATAGTCTTCAGACTGTAATGATGTTTTAGCTATAAAAGGAATGCAAAATGAAAGTATTAGCAACAGCTTCCTTGCTACTATTAATACTAGTTAGCGAGTTGATCAACTGCTTTAAGGCGGAAATATTGTTATGATCAAATTTTTCGCTATTTTAATTGACCGCTGAGTTTAATTATATTGATTAAATATTTAATTTTCTGCAAATCTTTTCTTAATTATACCTCTTTTTTCGATATATTAGTATTCAAGTAACAGTTGACGTCAAAGTGTTATGATTTTAATTACAAAAGAATTAATAAATTCGTCAACTCTTGTCTATAACAATTCGCAAATCACTGTAGATAATATGATTTAATTATAACAGTGGTTGACAAGCTTAATCTTAGTTGAAAAGAGCTAATACCATCAATAAGATGAATCGACTACAGATAAATGGACCTGGTTTAGTCGTTAAAACTTTGGATCATTTAAATAGTTTTGACAATATTTCTACTCCTACACCGCGGTAAAAGTAAAAATTTATATAAACTCAGCATTGGCTGGAATCTGAATGGTTTGTGTTGATGTAAAGGACAATTTAGTAGTTTTACTGCTACGATACATAATTGATTGAAAAGATAATTTCGGGTATAAATTGGTCAAGATGATCAACAATAAGCAATAAAAGGACGACGTGATGCAATTTTCATGCTCAAATAAACTATATTAAATATGACCTTGATGATACAAAATTATTCCAAAGTTTTTTGTTAGCACTAATCAAGTGGAGATGAAATGCCCAAGTATAATGTGTGTAAAAATCTTTTTTGAGAAAAGAATTAAAAATCTGCAGTGAAAACAAATTAACTAAATCAGAATTCACAAAAGGAAAACATTTTGTATTGACTAGTGGTTAATCTACCTTATGTTGTAATTTAGTACTGCTTGTTGTAACTTTTACATAGCTGAGAGCATATCTATTTGGATAGCAGCTAATAAAGTACTTTAAAGAAATTATCAGTGCGTTTTTTTCGTCCCAGGTTCTTAACCAGAGTACCTCAACGTGTAGCTAACTGAAATACTAGTGCGAAATTACAACATTTTACTCTTTAAAAAATCAAATTATACGGTACAAAAAATTCTCGAATTTTCTTAATTTTGAGCTCCTTGTATTTTATATCAATGCCTTGAAATCTTAATTGTAACAGAATTCGTATATTGAGATGGAATAACCTTTTATAAGACATAACCTAGGGAACATGATACAAATAATAAGCCAAATTTTCAATATCTATCGAGTATGAGGTGAATATAGTAACGACTGCATTTGCAATCTTTACTTTTTCTAACGAGTGATTTGAGATAAAAGATACCTAACATTTAATATTAAAATCTAAAGAAGAGCTTTATGCTACGGAAAACATTAGATAAATTCGAAAATCAGAAAGTCAAGAGTTAAGATTCATACGACATTGGCAATTTTCATCTGATTCCGATGAAGACGCTAGATTAATTAGTAAAGACTATAACGCTACAGAAAGAAGGGATTTAGAAGGACTGCTCTGACCTAAATCCATATTATAATACGATAATTAGCCATAACGATTACCTTTGGATAGACGATAAATATGCATCTTTGTGAGCAAATATCCGTTAAATAGCTTGAAATTGTTCTAAATGCTACAGAAACTGATTCCTATAAGAAAATATTGTCTTGGTAACATAATCTGCATTATGATGACGACCTTAGTCAGCAAATCTACCAAAGGTGTTCTACAAGTGATGTTTAGATGAATATTTAACGGGCTGCTAAGAAATATCTGCTTGAGTTTTGTCGGTATGATGTATCATAAAATAAAAAGTGGAATATTAATATATTTTGAAGTATGATACTGTTATCGTCAATCCTGAGAATCGATCAATAACGGTACTACATAGTTAATGTTTACTGCTAATCATTAATGTCATTGCAGTCTGATCAGCATTGCTGTGCCATAAATTAAGCCAAAATTTGTCAAATAAAATAAAAAAATTAAAGCAAAAATATCAGAGTGTACTGTCTTAAAAGAGAATATGAAGTAAATCAACATTATGATGGTTTAATACTGATTAACCTCAGCTCTAATGGAGATAACACTTAGGGCAACCTTATTAACCCTATCTCTGTAACTAACAGTTGCGTTAGTAGTATATCAAGCTAGAAATTGTTAAATAAAGAAATGTTAAAGCAAACATTTCAGAGATCTACTTTCATAAAAGAATGCTAGCTAAATGGATACCATGGTGGTTTAATATTGATCCCTTTCGGCTCTAATGGTTATAACAAGTAGGGGTAATCTTATTATTCTACTCATATATTTTACCCATAATTCGCTATCATCGAATAATTAATAGTGAAATTTTTAAAAGTTATTGCTATGCGATGATTATACGTACATACTTTCTACCGAACAAAAAATAAAATGTCTTTGCGATATAAAGCATCGCTAGCATCTTCTAGTCTTCTTAGACCAGAAATAAAGTGAAGTGATTATATATCTATTATCATTGAACCAATAAATTAAGATATTTTAATAAACCATTTCCATTTACCTTGAAGAAGAATTAACAAGTAGATATTATTACCGCTCCCGAGCTATAATTATATCTATGTAAACCTCATTCCAAATGTATTATGATGTATCTTGTAAACGTTCTAGCTTTTCGATGTTTTCACATAGAATAGTTCACAAGGGGAAGAAAATGCTAAGCAGTAAATGATAGTGTAACTCAATAGATCTTAAACTAATGGTAAAAATGATATGGTGAGACTTATATTCAATCCATAGTAGATCGATATGTTTCAGCTGTTCTAAAGACTAACAATAAATTTTGTTTTTCTTCAGTCATACATAAATGATATTAATATGATTATATTACGGTATTCAGCGATGATCTGTTCTATCATTATGTGCAGAGCTTTGTGTAATCATGACCTCCATTGTCACTTTTATTTAATTTGTAATTACAATTTGAATGGGTTTTAATTTCTAAATAGTTTAGAAAGAAAACATCTGGTCTGAATTAGTAATAGACGATAACCTTCGTTTGTCTCGTTTAACAAGTATTGTTCACTACTTGACAATTATTCTCTAACAATATGATCCTTAGCATTCTAAATTTTAAATAAATTATGGCACCTTTAGATTACGTTTACGGTAAATTGCGCTATTAAATAAATATAAAATTTTAAGGCGGGTATCCGTTATTTTTATTTTATTGACAGTTTGATAACGATAATTATTGCCGGATTTACTTGATAGAGTTAATTGTAACTTCATTATTTTGTAACCACCAAAAAACGTAAATAATAGTTTGTTTTTGGTAGATATCAAGATAGCAATAATCTCGTACGTATAAGAGACTATGAATTAAGTATCGTTAATCTCGAAGGATTTCTATAATTTGAATTATGAGATACCCATTGAGTTAGATGTAATATTTAGCCTATCTATATTTAGGAATTTAGTTGATGCAAGTCACTTGCGATAGATGCATATAATTAAGACTATACGATCTTTCTTTCATTCGATAAAGGCTATTACCCGTTTTAAGGGCATCCATTATTTTTATTTTATTGACTAGTCGATAATGATACCAATAGTCGGATTAACTTGATGGAGTTAATCGCAACTTCATTATTTTTTAACCGCCATAAAACGTAAATAACTATAATCATTTGTTATTAGTTGATGCTGATATTAATACAGCAAATAAACTCATACGGATAAGACACTCTGAATTAAGTATCGTTAACTTCGAAGGATTTCTATAGTTTGGATTATGAGATACTCATTGAGTTAGATATTATATTTAGCCTATCTATATTTAGGACTTTAGTTAATGCAAGTCACTTGCATTAGATGCATATAATTTAGACTGTGTGATCTTTCATTCAATAAGGGCTATTACCCATTTTAGGCTTCCATAACTCAAAAATATGTACATAACTTCTTAATAAAATACCGATATCATTCGATAACAATTTGGACATCCTTTCGCAGTGCAATTTATTATTCTTTAAAATAACAACGTTTATAATTGTGGAAAATAGTATATTCGATTAATTTCATAATATTCGTAAATACTGAGTATAGTCCAGTTCCTAAGTAATCAGCCCTAATAATTATTACGAAAATCGCTGTTACAGTTTAATATGGCGGTTTTACTTTAACTACGTAATATAAATGATAAAAATGATTAAAATTATAACAGTAGCATATTTCTAATTCTTGATCATTATTTACCTCGGAAGGCTTATTTTGTAGTGTAGTACGAGTATATTTGCGCATAAGAAAAAGAAATTGCAAATGTTAAGAGGAATAGGTGATAACGAATACCAGCGTACAATAAAACATTAATCATATACCGTAATTAATGAACGTAGTCGCGTTTTATAACTTGGAAAGAGGATATTTTAGCGCTTGGTTCTCTTTATTCAATACCTTTTATTGATTTAGCAATCTAATGAACCGCTGAAAAGTTTATTATAGTAGAAACAGAAAAACGTTATATAGTAATAATATAATTCCATTATATCTTGCTCTTCATAGTAACAAGTTAAAGTTATTTTGATTTACGCAATAGTTATTGAACATTCTATTTGGAACAATGAAATGTATTTTACTGCTGAGTTAGAAATATTATAGTTCACTTCGCGGTGGCCGTAATAGCATAATCGAGTAGATATATGTGTCCATATTAGTATATCTATCGATAAAGGCCGTATATTCTATGAAATACGAGGATCAAATAAGTATCCGTGTGCAAAATATGAATACAGACTGCAGATTTATATTGAAGATTATATTTCTAGAAGACTCCATTGCTTCCATCCATGATGCGAATTAATCACTAAGTTCTGCTGATTTAATCGAAATTTTCAACGGAACAGAAACAACCATCATGATATACAGTTAAAATAAGATGCAAAAGGTTACATTTATACGGGGTTATCATGAAATTATAGAATCATCATGAGTTCTGATGATGCTAAATTGAATATGGCGGTATAGAAGTATTCAAAATAAAATTGTTGTATTTATTTTAGAATTTTGCTAAATTTGTTTTGTGTTGTAATTAGTATATTTATGAAAAGTGATATTGTAATCAATATTTGATGGGACTTTGCAAGCTAACCCATTTCGGAGGATTCACCTTATCTTTTAAACACTTTGTCTCAAATTCTTTAGCCAGCGAATATACTGTAAAAACTTGTTTTAAGGTTACTTGTACGCCCCCTCCCTTTGAGTGACTTAAGGAATGTCAACAATTCTCATAAACCGTTACAAGAGGGTCATGACAAAATTAACAATTTATACGTATTAGCTTGAGCTGAATTATTTAACACGAAATGCTGTCTTATGGCCGCAATACCATCAGTCGAATTACTGTTGCATAGTAACGGAGTTTGCAAACAGATTATTACCACGATAAAATATAGCAAAATATAAAAGTAAGCCACTATTACAAAGGTGATTATCAGCACAACTGGTATGGCATTCTGCAGAATAAGTAACTAAATTGAAACGGCTATAAATTTTCTCAAGTGGGTCAAAGTCCCCTTGATCCTCAAACGTACTTGTTAAAATCATCCAGGTTCGCTAAGTTGTTATTTAGGCTATGATTAAATAATAACAGCAGGCTAGCAAAGTTCCTATCTAATATCATCAAAAGAATGCATTCAAAACAAAGTATTGCCTAGTTTCAGACAAATTGGTTAAATAGCATGAGTAAATGCGAAATGTGATCACCGTTTACGCCCTTTCGTTATATTTTACAAACAATAAATAACAAATAACGTAAAATCTTAATCAAATATTAATCGAACGTTCCTTTTACGGTGAATTAACTGGTTATAATTTAAACGTTTAGATAGATTAATGTGAAGCGTGGGCTAAATGTATTTGATCTAGTCATCTTTGTATTTTTAATAGTCGCTTGGCGTGATCAGCATTATGACTGCTAAATTAAATTTACGCATTACTTTCAAGGTAAATAAGATAAAGCGACCAGTTAAATCGGTAAAGATATAATTTAAGATAGTGATTCTATTTATACGATGCTTTCTAGCCTTTAGATCATAAAATATATACCATAGCGTCAAATTTGCGAGCAGAGGACATCTGTTATTTGCATGACTACGCTAATTTTAAAAAAATGCTTGCTTAAAGCTAGATGAGCTGTCAAGGTAAATTCACGTGCTAATATAAAGTCCATGGATTACATCATCCATGGGATGATTGTCTAATATTTATGATGGGCTAATCTCTAATGAATGCTTAGATACTGTATAATAGCAAAACAGATATAAAATATTAAGTAATAGGATTCTAAACTAAGCACATAGAAATATTAAGTTTACACCGTAAATTAATCAAGCTGATAGCACATTCTAAGCTTACGATTAAATTTGATCTTCAGAAGCGGGATAAATTGTTATTTGATGTGTTAATGCTAACTTACCTTAAATTACACTATAAGTGATAGAGTGGAAATTCCTATAGTTATTGGAGAAATTAGCTTATGAACCGGCTATATTCATATCATATTCAATTTGAGTAGGATGAAATTATAGGATTGAAGTTACTATGAAAGGGTATGCGGTAGATTAATTATAACGCTTGTCAAATATTGACGTTATATTTTAGTTGAATAAAAGAAATATGCACAATAGAGGAAATTACGATTTTTTGGTTTTTGCTTACTACATTATTCTACTCAAGACACGTTGGTATGCAATTTCCAATGTTCTAATTTGCCAGACCATTGTATAAGAATTAAGTAAGCGATGATAGTCCTAGAACGCTGGTTATATTAATATTTTCAGGATTGCGTTTCATTATTGTTAAATTATTTGACGAGCTAACCGATGTGATCGTGGTATTATATGTTAAAAGGGAACCTTAAAATACGCTGATACCAGTATTTACAATTTTCAATCCAGATAACAGTTTTTAAAGGCGAAATACTGGATACAAAAATTACTGTTTAAAAGCATTACCAAGTAATATTAGGTGCAAAAGATTAGTACATTGATTACCCATCAGTTTTTGCCGACATCTTACTAGACAATGAGCTAGACGATGCTGCTAACTGCAAAATACTACTAAAAAGCTAACCTAATAACTCAAGAATTTCTAGGAGTCTTTAAATTCGTCTTATATAAAATAAAAAAAAATGAGGTAGAATATCATTTTAAACTTTAGAATTCCCCATAAAAACGATGGATACATTATTTGAGCCTTAATCGAGGTCTGTAATTTTATAGCAATATTGACCATATTTGATGGAATAAATTATCTAGTCCAGAAACAAAGTAATTCTTCTATTGAATTGTGGAATAAATAATTAATTTAAAATTCTTCATCAATTCATTTTAAATCAATTATAAATGATGGCCAAAATGACAAATGTTTAAGAAATGACGAGAAACAACAACATTGTATTTAGATCGATCTCAAGAATTGAAGTTTTTGGCCTCGTTGAAAAACAGATTGAAGAATATATTCGAGCAGCTAGACAATTGAGCATAACTAACACGCATAGATAGAATTTTTGTCTTCGTGTATAAAAAGAAAAACTATTTGGATTTCTATGATGACGGTATGATAAGAAGATTAATAACTTGTTGCATCGAGACTGATTAAGCAGAGCAAATTCGATAGAATAGATAATAATCTTCATAATGGGATAGATTGAATGTTTGACTGGTTACATATGTGGATGACGTAATCTGAGATTAGTTAGTTATAAACCTTGATGTGATTCCGTTCCGTTATGAAATGCAACAACAAATATTCCATACAATTTATAATATTTACAATGATATAATCCCGATTTCAATGCAACAATTTCTATAATTAAAGCCATAGTTGATACAGTAACTGTTTATCCCTCAAACAGAGCTTAGAAAGAAACCCTGCTTCAATAGCTGTTGTTAAGGACTAATTCGATAACATAAGCACCCAATTAATTCACTAAATACATAAAACAGCAATTGATAGTTTTGATTAAAAGCACTGTCTATGTCGTATTATGATTCTGATTCAATTACGTATTATTAGTTCACGATTCAGTTTAGAAGGGAAGACAATATAACAAATAGACCACCTTAGTTGTTACAGCCTTCGTCAAAAAATTATGTGGAGCCTTTATGCAGTTAATTTAGTTTATGGCCGATATTGTATTATATAAATGGGTAAGATAATACGTGTACTTTTTTACCAGGAAGATTAAAAGTAACTTACTTTCACCGCAAATCAAAAATAATTCTGCTTTTGGACTACTTGCTTGTGGATTAATTTTCATGCCGACTTTATTTAGCATATTCGGAATAACTGTATTCACGGTCATGGTGCTGTGAATTTTAATCTTGTACGATTCACGCTCTGTCGATAAATTGGACGAATCCATTAGTTGTACATTGAATGGCACAACACCTTCATATTCTAGATCCTTATTAAAATAAAAGAATATAGAGAATAACCTTGTGTGCAATCAGTATATACAATGCTTCTTTGTTGTTCAATTCTAATACAATCTAATTTGATAGAAGCTTATATAGATGAGTAAATGACTGTAGATTATAACGAATAATATTGAATGATAATGGTAGGAGAAATATTTAACTCAAAAATGTACGATTTCCTTTAAAAGTACATGAACTTTAAATGACAATTTTCAAGTTTCAAAGATATAACTATCAAGAGACTATTAGCGAACCATTCATTAATGTTGCCCTCAAATATGAGTGTAAATAAAAATTATTGGAAATTTTATCTCTAATTTTAAATATCATTTTAATAGTGAGATGGGGTCAAATATTTGCTTCCAAAAGATTAAGCAATCAATTTATTTAAAAAAGGAAATGTTCACCAATCGAAATATCATTAATAATTTCCCAAGAGTCAAGGAATAACATCAAAATGTTGAGATTTATATTGGTAATAAACATATGCGTTTCTAGAAATGCGTATCCGTATAACTATAAATTCCGATATACCGTAGCTAACTTTACTATCGTACTAAATTTATGAAAGATATTTTGATCGACTTTGTTGCCTACTCACTGTTGATGGCAAATAATACTATTTTGCAAGGATTTTAAAGCTTAATTTTGCCTCGAGCAATGCCTAGTGTAAGGTTCTTAGTTTGATATTTATGAGTACTGTATGTACGCGTATAAGATGATTAGTTGGGTGTACTTAAATTAAATTTTTCTGTATCCCTGATGATTTTAGTTTGAGAATAGGTGTCTGCAATACGATTTAATTATTTTAATCACAGTTTAGTTCACAGTAGTGTATTAAAAATCGATGGTAAATAAATAAACTTTTTGATCATTTCGTTATTGGATTCCAACGTAGGCAATATAATGATTATGTCGGCTATAACTGAAACAGTTCTTAGATATACAAGATGGATTCGGAAAATAACTTCTCAATTAATCTATTTAGTAAAGCAATAAATAATAATATTACATTTTTAATTTTATTGAAAGGCGCTTGAAATGCAGTAAAAATAAAACTTGTAGACGTATTTGTTAATTGTGTCTGCTATTGGATTGATTGGATTATACGAAGAGATAAATAGGAATTAGAAGGGTTTAATGATCATATCAATGAAATTTAAAGAAAAATTATCATAAATAGATATTCAACGGCAGCAATTACTTAAAGTAATTTTAGGGATTGATTTTTTATTATTCAAAAACACGTTTCAATATAATTCTGATTTGAATTGTATGATTGTGATACTGTTTACCGGTTTATAGTACTGATTTCTAAATACGTCACAGTACATTAAACAAATAATGCTAATCCCCGTATTTCTTTCAGATATAAGTCTATCAACGACCGAAATAGAATGAAAGCTAAATTAGGTAGCAATGACTGAAACTAAATCATACAAGGAAATATTGCTAGACTGTGTTAGAGAATCATTATGTGTCGTATTACAAATAATTTCATCTTGAACTGTTGCATCGGCTAATTTCTATTGGTTTTATGGAAGCGAGAGAGTGTGTAAAGAAGGCTGTACTGTGGCACGATGAAGAGAATTTTACAAGATCCCACAGAGCCTTAGATCGATGCATTTGAATAAATGAGCATATTTTAGTGAAATGACAAACATTATTTGGGAATAAAAGAACTAAGTAAAAAAATATTACAAGGCTACTATATCTTGATTCTGTACTACGATATTACAAAATTATAATAAAGGCATCTGTTAAACCATCAGACAGTTGTTTTTATTTCGTAGCATGATGACATGTTATATCTTATAAAGAAACAGATTAAGGCATTAATATTGGTAACTATTAGGTACGATTATTATTATAACGCTTCGCTTTTAATGCAGATATAGCCATATTATGCTGAAAAGGTGACGTTAAGTAAAGTTAGAGAAACCGATACTGCTTAATCTACCATGAGTAAATCTCCTCATTAAAATGGGTGAATTATAATTGGAAATCAATTTTGAAGATACGATTAAATATAAGAAAGAAAGAATTACCAGTACGCGGTATGTTGTGAGTATTATATTGCTGTTATAAACTAACCTTAAATAAGCATATTTGAAATTCATTCTGTTGATTGTAACGATTTATTTTCTCTTCAATTTCAGCTCTAATAATACTTTCAATTGGTGTTGCATTATCTTCTGGTCTAACAACTTCTTCTTCTTCTATTGCTGCTGCTGAGACTTTTGCTAAATGGCTAATGATATCGGGATCAAATAATATAGATACACGAGGCGATACTGATGGTTTGTCATGTTCGACAGAAAGAGAATCTTGCGATGCGAACGAACTCATTTCAACTGTATTAAGCGTCACTAATATTCTGAAATTAGTACATGGATAGCAGTAGGACCACCTTTTAAGATCAGTATGTTACAGTTATAATTTGGCATCCACTTATATATACTATATATATATTATATCAATATAATAAAATGGCATAGGAGGGACTTCAATCGCTATATAACCAATAGTAGAAATTACGTTGTATTGAATATGTAAATCATAGCGGATGCAACGTAAGCAAATAAAACTAATGATGACTGTGAATAAATTGTTACTTAGCGAAATTAATTCATTTACCATATACGCAGTAGACTAAGACTACTACTGAAATAAAACATTCAATAGTACGTCAATAACTATAATAGTTTTCGACATCCGAAAGGATTTATTTTATCTTCAGATCAATGAATTTGAATCTTCGGGAAGGGGAGTGTTTTAAACATCTGTAATCAGTATTTTGATTTATATTAGCCGGCAGAAAACGATTTTATAAGATTGAATGAGAAATGTGTTTGTTATATATCTTTACTCAATTTATCACGAAAAGAATTTAATAAAAACAACCGTCTCTTGTTTTCTGGGACATCAATTGTTTACATAGGTCGATAACATTGTTATGATAATATTGTTGGGAATGATAGGCGTATTTATTAGATTAATGGTTCTGATTAGAACGATAACAAATTAAAACGGAAAGTCAGGGAAACTAATTCACCTACATCTTATATTTCCTTCTTCCTAATCATCGATAATGTTACTACAAGAGTAGTGAGAATATTGATATCCAATTTTTTTATAAACGCTAGTTCTATGCTGTAAATGTACAGTATACAGGGAAAAATATGATTCAGATCATATTCCCAATTTCTGTGGATTGTAGATTAGCAGAGATAGCTCGTAGTAGAGACGAGATGTAAATCTAGAAGCAAATTGATATTTTAAAACTGTATCAGTAGAATGTCAGTATATTTTTTTCTATTACAGTCAAGAATGATTTCATCACTATCAAACTAATCTTCAAGGCGGGCAAAAATTTAATTCGAATGAACATGGAGCACATGTTCACGTTGATAATTTACAATTTATTTGATTTGCTGGGATTAAAAACAAGATCGGTGTTAATATTCATGAAACGGTTAAGTAAACATCGTGTAAGTACAAGCTATTAAGCAGTAGCCTATTAAATTAATTTATTTATACTTCAAAGGATAGGCTACGATTGAAGTAGGAGATCGGTTTAATATTATTTACGGGTTAGTATGAAAAATTTTTATATAAATAAATTATAAATTAAATCAGTTGAAATATTCATATTTGTAGTTGATCATTTGCTTTGATTTTATTCGGCTGGATGCCATACTGACATTTCTAAAGCTGAAAGCACAATAATATTTTCGCTTGTATTCAACCATTAATACTAAGTAAAAAGAACTACTGGGGCCCCCGCAAATAGTATAGCATCACAAACACATATACGTGCTCATCAACTGTGCAGTTAGTTCATTATTATTCGATAACCTGTTGCTATTCATTTTTGCATCATAATATGTAATTAAGCCCGTATGGTGATTCATATTGTATATTAATATATTCAGTAAAATCTTTTACGCTAATGTCACCAATTAATACAATGTATTACGTAAAGAAAAATCAAATTGATGAAGTGATAAATACCGTATAAATAGCAGTATTAATGTTAATGACGTCTGAAAATCGAACAGTTTTCTAATAAATTATTTTAGCGATTGCGATAGAGATACCGACTTTAGCTGTACTTATAATCCACAAGCATGAGATGACTCTAATTATATTATAGACATGGAATAAATGGAAAGAAATCATGTTTTAACTACGTTGGCATCAAAATAATATTGAATGTCAAACATAATTAAAGGTATAGTTTTTGACTAATGTGATAATGCAATTTTTAAGGAGGATGATCTTTCTATTCTACTAAAGACTTCTCTATCCCAGTCAGGATTTTATCTGGAATGATTTTTATGCAAGATATTAAATATCCAACTATACCTTAATTTTAAACTTATGGTCTGTTCTGATCAGGGGGATTAAATAAAAAATACAAATAATACTACTTGACGTCTATACTTTAATTAGAAGGTATAATCTTTCCCTTAGAGCGAGTATGGAATCAGAAAGAGTGATCTTGTCATGAGTAGTATTAAATTTAATATTTTCCTATTGTTGGCATTTCAGTTATATTTTAATTGTCCCCTTTTATATGATTTAACTACGAATTTTATTTAAATTGGCTTATTGAATGTGCCAGTTTTTAAACATCATGATGTTATGCTAATGAAATGTATCATTTATATTGGCATTTACAGTAGCAGGATAAAAACAACTTTCAGATCGCTTCTAATAGCTTGATATTAAATATGAAAAGCTATGATAGCATTTAAGCGTAGGCAACAATCTATTCACAGATAATTACTATAGCGGCTATGCTTCACTATACTAAATTATCTTGGTGTATAGATTTGGAGATAATTAATTTACTTGAGCTCTGATTTTTGCGGTGCAGCATTCCAACTAATATTACTTACAGAGACTACCATTAATTAAGCTTTGAGATACTAGATTACTGTCAATCTACTAATCTCTAGTTATATAAATTGTGTCTAGCTTCGATTTTGTGATCGACAAAATATACGACTACATCACAATTTGAGATCATCTATTTTGAACATAATATTGTCTTTCGTTTAGGGTGCAAGCCTAAGATTGATTTCTAACCACCACCAAACAATTATCGTGGACAAAATTCCGTACGAAAGTCTTCTATGACCCATCATGATTTACCACAAAACAATCTACCTTGACACTTTGTACATTCCTTGCATTAAGATAGCTATTAAATTAAGTGCGTAGCACTAGATTAGTGGTCGTTGTTAAAAGTCTACTATAATCAGAAATGCAGCATTAATACGGGCGAGTACTAGCACAATCCGCAGCATAGTTAGTATCAGATACACACTGGTTACGATGATTACTTAGTCTGATTCAAATTCATAGACAATCATCATGATCCAATCAGTTATAGCTCAAATGGGGATCTAATAGTATTGCAAACCAACAAAATCTGATCCTGTCTCATTGAAAATTGAATTCATTTTATGAATCCACGAGGGGTTACTTCATGTCGCAGCGAAGTTGAAGCCTAATGTTATAATAATACATAAATGTGTAGATATTGTTGCAGTCAAGATTTTATTATCTAAATGGTATATTTGGACATAAAATAGTCAACCAATCAAAATATGATCGCAGTCCCTGGCAGCATGTTGGTGCTGCATTTGGATATCATTCACTAAAAGTACCGCTGGAGAGCTTACTGTAATCGCTACAATATATGTCCGAGCTCGTTGAAGCCGTCGTGGTCAGAGCAAGATTTATACCATCTTTGAATATTATTGGGTAATGATCCTGCTATTCCAGATTGCTTGACAGCGGAAAATAGTACAATATCTGCTAGCGACACTCTATCACCAAGCAACCATTGAGATTTGCCAATTTTAGCGTTGATGTTGCGAAGTGTTGCATTTTGTTCACGATTATTGCCATTGAGCAAGCTCGTTTCGATAGAATCGAGTAAGGAATCAATTTCTGTTGACATCACAGCATCAGAATCATCGTATAAGATAGGAAGAAATAAGCGACATAGATAACGTGCAATATTTCCATCGCCTACGATTGCCGTATGACTAACACCATCCACTTTCAAGATTGGACAGTCATCTGCGAAGAAAGATGACGATGTTAGTGAAAAGATACAATGTCCAATTTTAAGTTTGTAATCCTATCCAAGCTAAGCGTAGTTAAAAAATATGCTTGTATTGGTATTACATTGTCCATGTCATACGATGCATCGATTTTTTTAACTTACCGTTTGTTATCATGACTGATATAAGAATCCCTTGTCGTCTGGTATGAACTCCGGTATTATATCTTGCTAGCCATTTGCATGTATTGCTTGGTATTGCGCTTGTGAAGGAAGAGTGCAAATGCGTGGAGAAAGTACATTGGCGGCCACGCTTGACTAATAACTTTTGTAATATGACGGTTGAAAGAGGTAAAGCATTGGGTGACGACGTAATGACAACATTGACTGCCGCATTCTCCTAAAAGAGTGATGGTGATAATTTAAAATAGGTCAGTATCCAACGGCTTTCTATCCGCACAGACACCAAATGCACTTTAAGTGAAGGCAGGTTTATTACAAAGTGGTAGAAATTGAATTAGCAAGACAACGTACGATAAGCAACCAACGTAACGGTTAAAACTATCACAATTTTACGGACCATTGTCGTGATTTGCATCTAAGATCATTACTATTTTTACCTCTGGCTCTGGAATCGTCACACCATGTTGTTGAGCGATCTTGTTGACTTTCAATTTTAAATCTTGAAGTTGAGCTAATAGATTCACTTGACGTTGTTCTAGCTGGCGTATATCCTCCATCATCTCCTATTGATTTCCAAGAATGCCATGACTCAACCAATGCATCAAGTTATATTTCTACAAAGTTAGCGTTAGACGTTGTACTCTAGCAACTATAAAAATACGCTTTATTGCATCCATGCCTCGTTAGTCAGTTGGTGTTTCTATGGAGATTGGAAGCTATCCAACACTACAAATGACTCACTCCCTATCGTACTACACTCGCTAAACACTATCCATTCATGTCAATACTTGGTTAAAGCCAACCAATAATACTGTTGTCATTTCAACGCGTTCTTACTGATCTACCGTCATCATCCTTCTATCTTGGCTATTTATATCACAACATACCTCTTCTTTTCCACTGTTTTCCTGCTTGCCGTGATGGCTATTCCTCTGTTGATGATCGCTATAAAAGCTATCCACCTTGTACATACAAGTCGGTAAATCGGTTGGTTGGGCGACCGATACTGGAGGATCAACTTCAAACATGGACGACATACTTGGCTTCAACCGGTTGATTCAGCGCGTGCTTCTAGCCAGTCAGTCTACAGCACGTCAGTCTACAGTACGGTACGTCCGTCGACGGTCAGATGCAGCGAGTGTTGTGAGATGCGGTTATAGTATGCGATGGTTATTGAGCATGAGCAGTACCAGATGCTTTCTGTCTCTAATCTCTCCAAGAGCATGCGTGATTATGTACTGGACTGGTCTAGACCGTAACTGGACTGTTACTCAGTGACGCGACAGAATGAGAGTGCGTAGTTGCTCTTAAACGGCTAGACGGGAAGGTGCTTGCGTCATAGTGTGAAGAAAAAAACTTGAAAATGTTTTTTTCATTTTTTTTCCTCTATGGCTTGCGTACATATTGTGTTATTCCGTAATATTGTACATAGTACATTGTTAACACAAGGACCAAGGTTTCTAGTACTGTAGTCCTTTATGTTATTTTGTGCTGGTTGCAGCTGATGTTATTGGTTCAAACATGGACTACGACTAGGAAAAATACCTCGATAAGAAGTCGTTATGAAATTCATCTGGACGGACGGATGTTCAGCCTACTTTGATAGTCTTTACCGCATATTTCCTGATAATGGATCATAAGAATCAATTCCAAAATTGCAAATATAATTTCCAGGAAAGACTATCACTTTGTTGTAAACATCATTGAATTATTATAATTAAATTCTGTGATATCCAATTGATAAAGGTAAGAGAAAATATTAAATGCAGTACTTTTATAACGTCAGGCAATTGTTCATCAATTGATTTTGATAATTATTTTACCTGATGCATACTAATAATTGTAATTACATATTCTAGATTAGTCATTGCTGTAAAAGTGCAGTTCGAGGTAGAAAATACGTAGTGCTCTATCATATTTTATGCCAATATTTTATATTATGCGTATATACGAATATTGACATAAAAATATACAAGTTAATGTCCTACTTCACTGTAATTTTTTCTCTTACAGTATGCTAAGGAGCTAAAGCACCTAAGTAAAATATACTATTGATATAGATTTTATCACGTAATACGTCATTAAGTTTTGTAATGTTACCATAATGTATATCTTAATCATATATCATAATAGGATTGTACGCCTGCGAGATTCGTAACGGTATTAAAGGTAAAGTCCGTAAGCTATCCGTGAAGATAATTATGAATAGCGTATGTTGGTTTTAAAGCTGATTGGCTGTTTGGCATATTTATCTAGGTAGTAACTTCTAATTCATATTAGGCTTTGTGACATTCATTAATTAATGCATCATCAATATTATAATTTTGTTGTGTGATGAATCATATGTTGACACCTAGCTACTAATTAACTAATATTAAATGTCATAGAAAGTGTGTTGTGATTCTGGCTATAATAAGTATGTAGACTGGGTTATTAATTAATTACTGTTTTTGCACCAACGAAGTTGGTGAGGATATATAAAGTCTCAAAGTTCTTAATTGAGAGTTAGTTACGTTAGTCGATGACAGATGGTTATCAGTTGCTAGTCGTAATTGTAAGTTGTGCGTTCAATCGGACATTTTAATAAAATAGCTTCTAGAATAAAGTTTTGATCCTTAACGTGAGTAATCTATCGTCTAAGACTCGAATCTAAGTTTGGTTGATTAAAGAGTGCTTAGAGTTAGTTGCTTAGATAGTTAAGTCTACTTTAGAGGAAAGAATCCCGTTTAATTCTTGTGTTACAATCTCGGTTGTGACAGGCTTGCTATACGGTTTTATTAAAATGCGTATCATAAAGCTGGTATGTTTAGCATAAATCTGAAGAAAGATTAATAGAACTAGAAAATAAATATTTATGACTTATAATAGCTAGAGTTGCATGTTGCTTTTGTGGAAAAGAAGTATCATACAAATTGTAAAAATGTGATAAAGTTCAGGCTAATAAAAATCTTTTTATAATTTAGTTCTTTAGTATGAACACGTATTATTATAATGTATAAGTAATTCCTGTATATAATTTTTAGGTGGATAGATATGTTTCAAAACTTATCTGTACTTTACGATGACGGTTTAGTTGGAAAAAAAGGAGGGCATTGTCATTCACGTTTTTATTTCTGATTTATGAATATAATGTTTTGTCTTTCATTTTATAGCTAGCTTATTATTTTCGATTATTTTCGTTGCTTACTGTTTCCAGCAGCATTAGTGAATGTAAACAGTTTGCAACTGTCTTTAAATGATTTATTAACCTCTTAACGTTTATGTTATTTACATCGTTGTAAGTAGTCAATTTTATGGATTTTGCTAGGAACTATTATTAAACACTTGGTAGATACCATTTTTTGAAATTTGCAGTAAAGGATGTCATTGCAATTTTTACAATTGTGTTAGCTTCTCTCAATCTAAAGATTTCTCATTGCATTTTCAATACGAAACCTTCATTTGGCTATGGATCGTAATTATTATCATAAAATTGAAATGATAAAGAGCATTATTAAGAGCAGATAGCATGATATAATTATGTATAGTCCAATAAATGATCAACAATATTATTAGGTTTTGTTTTTACTTATCTACTTTGCTAGCAACCATAACACTGGTATTTTATTTTATATTTCCAAAAGTTCAATTTGCTAAATTTGAGTTAGGTCATTTTTTACAATTGCTATACGTCGAATTATGTAAGAAGATATAATTTATTCTTATTGGTCTGCGGAATATTCTAGGAGTACTACAGTTAAGATGGCACAATAATTTTGTTGCTATAACACCTCGGCCAGATTTCTTCAGTGATTATTAGTAGAATAATACTCTAGATAGGAGTATTTAGCGTTGTCGAATAATATAAGTATTTGCATAGATATTTTACAGTCTTAGGTATCAAACATAATTATCAACTCTAGCGTAGCCTGGGGTGGTATCCAGCTTCAACTGATTTTCTAGTAAAGAGCTTACAATATGGAATGTAGTATTCTATTGCATGATTTTGTAAGAAATTGTGAGAGGTTAGAAATTAATTAAATCCAATTATCCGCTTTATCTTAGTCACTTTCGACTGCTCTTATTGGAAGGAAAAGTGATTATACGACGTGACAAGTCCAACTCTTAAAATATCCTATCATTACGACCTACTACGGTATCAAACTATTAAATAAAATTGAAACTTGTGAATATTATTTCGTTCTGATGCAGTACAAGTCGGTGATTCACAGTCGCAATTACCGCTAAATCCGTTTCACTATTAATTTACTAGCAATACTTTTGCTATAGGGATCTTTGCAAAATTCCTAATTTAGATAGAGCATTGATCGCTAGTTTCGAATAGGAATTGCCACGATAGTATCATTTCTAGATGTGACGCGCTAAATGATCTAATATGCTGAGTAATGTCACTACTCAAATGATAATAAATGGTAGTCAATTATTTTAATGAACTATTGAATAGCACTTCTTTTCTGATATCGAATAAGGTACAATTGTGCTTTCGACAGATAATGGCATAAACTGCGATTTCTTGTAAAATTTTGCTTTACTACATTTACTTTGCTAGTCTTAATTAACATATACTAACAGCTTATTCACTATGGCAATCTACAGTTACCTAAATGAAAGGCCTTTAACTACATAATATCATTAATATCACAATATCTACCAGCAGCGAGTTATTTCATTCAATTATTGAATAGCTTACTTTTCCAATACTGTGTACTACATGATATCATTTATCTCACATTACTGTATCGTCTAGAAATAGGTATTTAGAGTCTTAAACTGATTTTGAGGTAGCATTATACATGGATTAGCCATCCAAATACTTTTCATAATAATCATATCACCGATGGCAGTATTTGTATTTCTTGCTTTCTAGTTTAGTTTAATTGAAGGAATATATGCTGTTCATTTAACCTTCCCTTTATTCCAGATTAATTAACATGTGTAATGAAGATTGGTCAGTCATTTGCACTATATAGATAGATTATTGACCTTATTATCTCTCGTATAGCTCTTTAAGTTTCTTAATCGTTGTTAGTACCAGCGCATCTTAAGAGTAAGATAAGCTAAGATTATAGTTCTGTAATATACCTAAACGATTAAGCATAGGAACTTAAGATGATCACTTTATAGCGTTTGCCGATTTGCTATATTCTTTTTCAAATGACAATTGTGATAACTGTAACCAAATTTTTGCAATTGCTATTGATTTATTCTATTTTCTTGAATTTTCAAATTAATTACATCAGGTATGAAACCCAATTTTTATGTTAAGTGCTATTACTATTTCCATTAGTTTTAAAGTTTTAATCCAAGAATTGAATATCGGCGATAAAATCAACAAATATATTCATGGACTCATTCATACTGATTATGGTTAGTTAGATACGAGTACTATCCATTAGCTTCAGAGCAACCCATAGAAAACTTCACTTCAAGTTACTAAACTCCAAATAGTATGCCACTTGTAAGCTATACAAGGTCATACGCTCTTTTAGATCAGAAAATATGCAAACCCAACATTATTTATTCATAGTCTGTGCGTTACTGGTAAACAGTACGTACCGACGAAGTAAACAAAGAAGAAATGTTTTGTACTGTAAGCAAATATTTACCTTTCCGTTACTGTTTGAATTCGTAATTTTAAATACATAATATTTTTGAATGCCTTCGATTGAATTCATCAACTATGTAGTATTTAATCTGCCTCTTGATGTAACAATATCGCTACTAGGTGCAACCCCACGTCTTTTAGATTCAAAATTAGCACTTAAAACCATGAATAGAACTGGATTAACAGCCGCGTTCAGATATAGTAACAGGACCAAAGTAGGAAATAAATCAGTTTCTTCTGGCTTATAGTTTGGTATAAATTGGCCAAGAATAGAAAATATCATGATAGGCAAATATGTAAATACATTGGTAAATACAACAGAAGCCAATATAAGACTAACACGTTTTTCAATGCGAGAAGATGAATTAGATTTGAATAATGATCTGGATTGCTTCAATTTCATGCATATTATAATATACAATATCATTGATGTAGTATGCATGCTAAAGCCCAAAAATAATTCAATATACAAAACTGCTAGTACCATAAAGCCCTTTGAGGAATCGGTATTACAGAATTGTCCAAGTATGTCAAAACGAGTTGAGTGATGTACAGTTGCACCATGCGCTGAAAGTAGGCCAATCGTGAAAGCAACAATAAAACCTAAAAGCCAAAATATAGTAGCGACGACACGAGCATCTTTGATTGTAATTTTGCGACGACTATGGGGAAATACAACCAAGATATATCGATCAACTGCTACTATAAACGTCATTGAGATTGATATAACTAGGGACAGTTGGCTCAGAATTCTTTCCATAGTACATGTAGGGCTAATTATCCACTCATTTTCGATACTGGAATAATTAGGGTATGGTCCATACTTATTTCGATAGTAGTTGGTGTAAGAGCTATCGCTAATAGCCAAAATTACTAAGTATAAACTGCTGACCAAGTCACCAAGGCTTAAATTAAACAGCAAAAAGATGGATGGATTTCGACTAATGAGAAGTCTATAGCGATTATTCACTATTAAATATTTTGTAAAAATTGTCTTAGATTTATGGTAATTTAGTAGAAGTAATTCCGCAATAATGATAATATTGCAGGGCAAACTAACTAAACCTAACGACCAACATAGTCCACGAACAATATTATAGTGAAGAAATACTGAATAAGAACTGTAATTCAACATTTTATCGTTATCGTTATTAAACTACTTATCGTTATGTTGATATTGCAGAAGATAGACAATGGTAAAACGATCAAACCAAAGTATTGCGTATCGAAAATGTCGTAAGTTAAGTTCTTTTCGGTAAATATAAAACAGTCCAGGATCAGAACACTGTAAGACAGTGTAATATTGTATTCTAAGTTGATGATATATTTAGTAATGTCTACCGTAGGTGTTGTGTTCAACATGTGATAGATATACTCGTTAGAAGCTTAAGTATTAAATATAGCTAGCTTAGAAGCTGTAATCCTTTTGAAGAGGAGCGTTACAGTGCTCACACTAGAGCTTCACATGAAAGGTGTAAACTAGCCTGTATTTGAGATGCTAATACTGAAGTGTGTAGTAAGTAAGGTGCTAAGACTGTAAACGCGGAAAGGTATATAAGCGAGTAGTTTAGTATAGTAAGCTAGTTCTTTCTCGTTAGAGGTCCTCAGCTAATTGATTACGTTGTATCTTCATAAAGGAGGTTTTGTTCAATAAATCTTAATTTACTAAAGTTTTTTGAAGATTCTTGATCTATCAACCTCACAAACACCCAGCGCAAAATTCAGATAGATTGTCAAGTATCATATAATAAAATCTGACGGTAATCTTAATCACTATTAGTAGTAGTAGTAGTAGCAGGTCAGCTATTTTATTAATGAGAAAGAAAAAAGGTGATGCCAATTTCGGAACTGTGATACATAAACAAAATTGCAAATAGATGCTTACTTCAAAGCTGTTACTCTTCAGATTTTTATGCTATAAATCGGACTGTATAAAATTTCAATCCAGGATTAATGCTTTTGATTCAATCAAGTCGACGTGTATTAAATCGACATACTGTAATAAGAAAAAGGTTGATAGATAAGATCTATAAATTAACAACAAATATCTGAATTGTCACTTTTTACTATAGCAACCTATAACTCACAATTTTGAATCTGTTTTCCAAACTGAATAGGCTATTCCAATAATTAATGAATACTTAATCAATTCATAAATTTATAAAAGGATGCTATTAATAATTAAAGAATAAAGACGTAAATTCTATTATTAATTAAATACTACCTAAGCTATTACTCTGAATTATCATCTTACATAATGACCTTTCCTAAGATTGAATGTATTAACGGTAAATGCATAGAAATACTACTTGGTTAAGTATTGACCATAATTTACCAATTATACTGTGATACTGATAGAAACGCAATAATAGCGCACAATATAATACGAGTACAGTCATCTTTATTAAATACTTCTGTCACTACTTGACATAAAATATAATATTTCTATCTTTAAAGGCGCTCACCGGTTAAGAATATCGAAAACTGCCACAATAGTCTATTATGCACTTATCCTATAAAAAGTATTACATGTTTTTATAATAACTGTGATAATTATCAGTGTTGAACAAATTATTTATTCTATTTCTGGTTGATCTCATTGCCAACAGAAAGATAAGCAATTGAATTTTTATAAAAATAGAAAAATTAATTCCATAGTATACCATAAATTTTAATGCTTAGCCATTTAAATTACACATTAAAATTATCAATTTTAGACGAAGCTTAATCCAAGACTATCTATTCATAAATAATTCATAGCATGGTCAAATAAAATAATCTAACTTATGTTAAATTTTATATAACTGTAGCAAAAACCCGTTCTACTAACTGTAATTAAAGTGTAGCTCACAAAAGTAATTTTAGAATAGCGGATTTTATTACTGGTTCTCTATCTATTGAGATACTACGCAAATTATAGTACAACAAGCTCTGACAGACAAGGAAAACTTCGTTTAACAGCAGATCTTAGAAAAGAAGGACTAAGATCGACAATGATAGAAAAGCGTAGCTGCTTAAATATATTATCTAACTTGCTTGCAACATGATAATTGCGAAAAACATAATTCAGCAGTGATAAAGTGTCTTCTCAAAAATACAACACGAACTACAGTTTCTTGTAAACTTCACTTTATTAAATAAGATTAGAATCGTCTCATGACTACTAAGGACTATCTAGCTTCAATAGGACTATCTCAGGACTATTTTTTACAGCGATAGCTCGCGGTTTATATATCCTTTGTTACAGAATAAATTATACATATTGCAATCATATCTTGCCAATTAAGTCGCAAAATAAGAGTTTATCATCGCGTGAGCTATTCCATTATTTACGTGCCTAATTAAAGCACCATATTCATAAAAACTATACTAATCTTGTAGAACAGTCTTATCCCTGTGTGACCGTAAGTAGTATAGAACTACCATACAGTAGAACTCCAGGTGTAAAGGAGCAAAGCATAAGTAATCTATTAGTTTAGTGTAGTAGTTCGCAACATAAGTTTGTGATATTTACTCATAATATTTCCGAGCTTGACTTATACCCAGTAAACTTTCTGTAAACTCTGTATGTGTAATGCTATACGCTTTGTATGTACTTAACAATACGTAAGCCTTCGATCACGCAAAAAGTAATAGAATTCGGATCGCACAACTAATGTGCACATTTTAGTCTTACTATAACGTAATCCCTAAGGGAATAAAGTCCATGGAAACAAGTTGCCTTACTTTTCTAAGTACAATAAATAGTGACTCAATGCGTCTAGGTAGTTGCAGCTGAATGAATGTCTTTTGTCCGTTGGATTAGTAATTATCGTCAACCTATTGATTCTATCAGTAATTAAGTAGAATGATTGCCGTAAGATTTTTTATTTCTAGATTTAACGTGCGTGAGTAGAATCTTTAACGAGATAGTATTTGATATTTAGATGTGTCCCTTTCAGTTAGTCTCTTCATTTCATAGGACACATATATTGGTTTACTTTTGACTTTTAGTTTAAAACTTAAAACTCATTCGCAGCGCTAATTTTAAAGGTTAAGTTACCATTCAGTAATACTAAACAAGCTCCAAAAAATCTGCACTTTCTAAATTCAGCTGTAAAATTCATTCACTAATCATGATGCTCTCACGAAAACGTGAAGACAATATATGTACCCAGATGGATGCAGTAGAAAAGAAAGGCAGCGATGATGGTAATTTATATCATAAGAAGTATTTTAAGCACTAGAGCAATGCTTGTATCATAATGCAGTTGTTAGAATTCAGTGAGCACATGAAGAATGATGTTACCGTATTTGCTCTTACCTGAGCGAGACTGGATACCGTAATTTACTAAGAATAGTCACTAGTATAGTATTTTTAAAGTAGACAAATAGCAATGATCTTTAAAATTCGTAGAATAGATTGTAGCTATTTACTTAATTGTCATTTCTTTTTTAAAACTTGCTAAAGAGCTCCTTCACAACAGTATAGACCAATGTAAGGAATTTGTAGAATACGTATGATTTTTTTTATGATAATACGTGTTTTGCCATAGATTTAAAGTACATTTTGACATATAAATATTTTGAGCTGCAAAATAGTTTTATTTGAATGTTATTGCTAACTAACACTAAAATTGAATGTTATCCTCATTTCAGACCATCTTCAAAAGTTTACGATTGCTGACGTTATCGAACACATTGGCTTTGGGCCTTTTCAAATACGGAGTCTTTTCGTTATAGGATTCATATGGGTATGTCATAAATGACGATCATAGATGCTATAAAAATATGTAAATTTTAGTGAACCAACCAAACTATTAATTGCTGAGATAACGCACGATTATTTTAGACTTTTCTAGCCTTCTCTAAGTACAACTGCGCTATATTACCGAACTACATCACCTTTTATATGCTAAGTAGAGCGGCTGATAGTATTAGACCATCCAACTATCATTCTATAGTATTTCAAATTAAACTAGCAATCAAACTCACACGATAAAATAAATTTTAGCCTAGACTCCCGAAAACTGCTAAATTAATAGTAAGTATAGTTTAGCTTTAAACTGTACATTTCTAGAGTATACACTTAGACAAAATAAGAATCCCAGGTTAAATGTTTTGGGTTCATACTTTACGAAATTACTAAGTAACATTAATTTCTACATTAATTAATGATCAAAATCGGTACACATGAATTCTATTAACTAAATATATCGCTAGAATCACAAAATCATAATATCTAATTCTTAATAAAAATTATGCTACGGATTATTTCAAATTCTAATCTGGATAAAGCAGTCGGGTTTACACAATACTAAGATACTAAGTAAAATCTTCTATTATAATTAACCAAATAAATCATATTTTTTTAAAGCTAGAATACTCATCTTGATATAAAAACTAAGCTAAAGTAACTACAATACAAGAACTTGAAGAAAAATTTTAAAAGTTAGCCCTCATTACAGATAGGTAGAATTTACTCTTTTCCATTATTACTTTTATGTTGAGACATCTTAGTTAATTGTATACCCGAGTTATATCAAAGTAATCAAGATAAAACTATTGTGACTTAAAGCTTTGTCAATGAGTATTTGAGTACAATAAGTAAAAATCTGTTGGGCGATTATAATTACTACATCCGCTTTATGAATGACATAGTTTTAGTTTGCTTAATTCGGACTTGAGAAAAAATTACCGAATAAATTTTGTTAGATTATGTTAATCCCCTATATTTTATATACAGCGTGTCATCAATAGCTTCTGCCATCAGCTTAATGTTAAATATTATTATAAAATTTTACTGTTCTAACATTAGCTTTGATAGCTGATTAACGGTGATAATAGAGGCTAATACTATTAATTGTGTATTTATGGATTCGTTAATAAATTATTGTTTATTATTCAATAAGTTGTAATCTGCATGAACATTTTAAAGAAGTGATATAACAAAATTTACGTATCTTTTATTTAGTTAACTAGTATGATTCGATTCTCAATGTTATCCATACTTGGGCCGCTGTTAGCCTGTGACTGGGGAATTACAAAGTTGGAGGAAGCCTTAATAAACGCTGTATGTAAAATTAGCTAAATTTGACGGGATTAAGACATTATGGTTTAGAGACTTTAGCTATTTACAGTAGTAGCATGGAGTAAGGTAAAGCTGGAAAGTCGAATAATTTGTTATATTTACATTAGAGCATAATTGTGTGGTGACTATTATAATAAAAGGTTGTAATCATACCATTAAGAGGTTATAAAATTTATTCATAACATATTAACTTCCTTTAAAAATAGGAAATTAAAATTTATTAATAAGGTTAGTTTTTGTTGTCACTTTTTTGTATTTTTTATCGTATTAGTTGTCATTTGCCGGCGATATTTTGGGATCTATTTATTTTGGATGGTTTTGTGATCGTTATGGTCGAAAATTGGTACTACTAGAGCTCAGATATAGCAAATTTAATAGCTCGTATATTGCAGCGCTAAATTCTCATAACATTATTACATTGTCAGTAGTGGTTGAAATTTTCAGCTACCTTTTTCTTCCCTACAATTAACATTAATAAAATAGAATTTAATGTTCTTTAATAATCTAGGGCGTTATTTTCGGAATCTTAAGTACTAGCTATATGTCAATGATCTCAGGCTTATCATCTGGGATTGAAATGATGCTGTTATTGCGATTTGCGTGTGGATTCACAGAGGGTGCCACCATTCAGTGGTGATCTCATGTCTTCCTCAAATTAATGTTTTTTAATGTGCTGTAAATTCTGGGGTTGTGAAATTTGAAAGTACCGTATTACCTGATGATAATGCAGAACTTTATTGTATAAAAAAATCCAAGAAGTGAAATTTTTTAATAAGTAAAGACCTTCTATTAGCAAGAAACGCGCAGTAGCTATTTCAGATAATTTAGTAGCTGTATTGAATTCGGTATTAAAATCAACTTATTTTATTTCCCGATTTAGTGTGACAATGGTAATTGAAATAGTTCCAGCCAAAGCTAGAGCTAAAACGATAGCTTCTTTACGAGTAAGTTATGGTAGCTTTAAGAATGATGAATTTAATAATGTTAGATATTGCACTGACTTAGGAAATTGTTAACAGTTTGTTTTATTAATAGGCATTCAATTTCATCGGTATAGCAGTGGAAGGCATAATAGCTTATCTTTTCCTATGCAAGTTTGACTGGCGTATGCTAATTTATGCTACAGCAGTTCTCTATTTAATATCCATGCCTTTAACCTCGGTAGTAATATAGAAACGTTACGGTCGTTAGCTGTCTAATTATTAAAAGAAAGATAATGAAAGGCCACAAACATTTTTGTTTATGATACAAATTTATTACCAAAAATACTAATTTATGTATGCAGACGCTTGTAGAATCTCCACGCTATTTGCTATTACATGGATTCTACAAAGAAGCAAGTAATATCATGAAAAATGCCGCAAAGCTGAATAATAAACCCGCACCAGAAGGAAAGCTAGTTGCTTCAGTTGAAGTATGAATTGTAATAGCCAAACAGTATATTTGTATGCATAGTGAAAATAGATTTGGTGATAGGCAGTCTAATAACCTAATATTACCTGTCATCTCTATCTTAAAGATAGAAAAATAAATTATATCTTGATCACGTTTCTTTTAATTTTGAAGATTAAATCATGTTTCATAAAACCTTTTAACTTAGATAAGTGGCGGAACTGTTAAGGATCTATTTAAGCCTGCGTATAGAAGAATAACATTAATAGTTTGGCTTATAACGTAAATGCAATATTATAAAATCTATAATATACGTAGTAGAATGGCATATTTCCATGTTTATCAAGGCGTTAACTACTAAACACGTTCCTCAGATTTACCATTACCACAATGTATTTTGGCACCATCTGGATGGTTCCTTTATTAGTAAATGTCGATCGATGCAGTGAGTAATTAAGCAATACGATCGAATATTCCATATAAAGATATACCGCACTATTTCCCTTTAGAGATGCTTTAGCTAGAAGAAACTATGCATTCGTCTATCTTTAGTACTGAAAATTAATTTTTACTGCAGATAATTTAGCCGACTTTTTAAGACTGAATAGTCCGATTTAGAATACCAGTATCAATAAAATTACTATAAATGAACGTAAGTTTATTTGCTATACTGCAGGTCTAGCTAAAGGACCCGCGAGGTATGCTTGTCGATGCAAGGAAATAAAAACCGCTAATATCATCGGAATTATTATTGGAGGTCTTGGAGAGCCAATAGGTATATTTAATGTTATAAATTGATTTTTTCCCTATAATTTAGCGCATAAGTAAAAGTTTCATTTTATAATATTTTAATACGTACAGAGAGTATAAATTTTGCGCATTTCTAATATTTTTACCAAAAGTATTCTATATAGAAGTCAAATAGATTGGATATTAATTATATAGTCAATAGAACGGAAAAATTTGAAGGGTGACTGAATATAATTTTCGTTAAACGTTTCCTTTCAATTGAAAATTTTAGGAGCCTTGATAGCTTTTACTTTGATTGACAGGCTCGGAAGAAAGAGATCTTTAATCTTGGGATTTTTTGTAACGGGAATCTCTTTCGTTCTACTTATGCTATGTACCAGTAGGCACGTTAATGGATCTTATAGAATCCGTCAAATCATTGCTGTAACATACTCTACAATTGTTAAATTTTTCTTGCTTTACTATGATTAGGTTACGTCACTATCATCACAAACTCAAAGTCGCGTGATAATTTCAATTTAATATCCTTGGCTTTGTTCTGTTATAGAGGAATTAGATACGCTTTGATCTTGTTAATAAGATCCTGCAATTGCTATTTACTTGATATATCTTACATATATATTTCCGAAGTGAGTGATTTCGAGGAGTTAATTTCAGTAATCATCACTTTTGTGATCACAGGAACTATTAACATTTACTTATTATGAACTTAGATCTATCCTACCAAATTCCGAGCAACAGGTCTAGGTACCGCTAGAGCATTCGCTGGGTTGGGTAATGTATTATCACCTTTTATTGGCCAAGTAAGTTAGATCAAATGGTACCAAATTCAGTGTTGAAGAATTTTTCTAACTAAATAGGAGTATAGTTTTTTTAGCTAAATGTAAGTTTGCGGTCAATTACGGATATTGGCCGCAACAGTAATATGCTATATGAAATTTATGTAATCTGAAACATAAAATAAGATTTGTTCATCATACCAAATAAATTTTAAATGATGGAATCACTTCATATCTTAGGCACTATTTTTAGCATCTGATATTGCAGCTTTAGCCACTTTTACTGGATTATCACTAGTAGGGCTTGTGTGCAGCTTAACGATTACCGTTGAAACAAAAGGACGCTTGCTAAAAGTCAGTTAAATTATAAGCGAGTATGGCAGAATTTTATGATTTTATTACTGCGTCAGTTAATAAATTCATAATTTTATGAATACTCAAACTATCGATATTTTATACTTTAAACTTCATGATGAAACAAAGGAAACCGATTGATATTAAGAACAGAAATACTTTTAAGGTATATCTCCGAGTAGATCTTTGATACATAAGTGTTATGTTCGTACCAGACATTAGCATACTCATATTTTACTATTAATATAATAGTTTTGCACAACATTTAGGGCCTACTCACGAATAATCCAGATTTGTAGCTGATTAATTTAAGAAACTAAATATGCCGTAAAACTAAATGCATTTACACGTCCGATATCATGAAGATAATTTTCGATGTAGCATAATGTTATTGATTTTGTTACTTTTATTATATATTTCAATTTCTGAATATTACCGGAACAGTAGTTTATATGTAAATAAGAGCCATCGTTGTTATTCTCCATTGAAACAATTTATAGTAAGACTTATTTAAATCTTCAAAAATTTAGAAGTAGTTTATCTTGCCAACAGCGATTAGGTTGATCGACTTAACGAAATGCAGCGACTTGAAGAATCAACCCGAATTCAATTTTAGATTATTTCGCTAGATCAGCACTTATCCTATTTTCAATAAATTTCGATAATTAGTGCTTAATCGTTTTATTTTAGTTTGCATGTACTATGTGAATTTAATGGAATAAAATGTTGCAAATACAACATAATTTGTGTTATCTTACTATTGAAGATCGGTTGCATAGTAGATTATGTTTGCATCAACTCCTATAATGTGCTAGTACTGCATTCGCATCGACAAAATGTCCAATTCCATTTCTTGTGAGGTTTTAGCATCAATTTTTGACAAACCTGAGAATGTTGTTTCCCTTATATTTAACGTAATAATTTAAGGTTTATGATATTATAAATAACTGTTAAATAGAGTCATATATGAATAATTTGTTTATTTATGGATGACTGAATAATATTTCATTAATTTTAAATCTAGTAATCGTCTTAATTGAAGAATAGAAATGAATAAATCAGTGCAATGCACTTATTCTAAAATGCGTAGTATTTTAGATTTAGCATGTTACAACACGAATAAATATGAGACAGTAATAGCTAATTACCCAAGACTCATTACCGTAATACTTGTATAAATAAATTGAAGTAATTGAAATAGATTACCGAACTTGATAAACTTGTTTGCTACTATCGCAAATTGAAATTTAAAAATAGTATAGAAATTAATAATCTATCAATTTCCACTTTATAGTATGAACTTAATCATAATGAACCTGACCAAGAAACCTCATCAAAATTTTTTTTCATATCCCAACAGATTAGTCAAATATACCTTAATATTACTAACAAGATCAAGTACTTGTTTTTTAACGAATGCCTTTGGGCTATATATTACCGAAGTGTGTAATCAATTTGTTGACACTAATGATATAAAAGGTTTTTTAAAACTTTATAAATAATCATAACTTGTCTAATTCTAATTTAGATCTACCGAACCAAATTTAGAGCAATTGCTCTTGCAGCTGCTTGATCTATTGGTGGTCTAGGCATGTTCTATCGTCATTTCTTGCTCAGGTCTAGTCTATGAAAATTGCTTTATTCTATTTTTTCTTTTTGAACGTGAAATGATCAGACAGGATTACTGTAAATCGATGTATACAATGCATGACGCCTTTGCGGTCGTTTTCAGGTAATTACTTTCTTTTTAGGTACTATTTACTAATTCAGACATCACGGCGTTAGCTACTTTTATAGGATTCGGAGTTTTACCAATAGTTTGTAGCATGATGACGTATTGAGACCAAAGGAACCTTACTCAAAGTAAGTCCTATGCAGAGTAGGAATTTTATTTAGAATTACGTTCAACTATCAAGAAGATGAGCTACTTGTGATACTAATTCGTCCGTAATTTCTTTGAAGGATTTAAAGATACGGACAGAAAACGAAAATGGAGATACGAACTATACTGTCTTCTAGGTAATTACTAGTTTTCTGAGTTGCTAACTAGTACATTGAACAGTCCAAATTTGATCGACTGTTCAACATTCATGTCAATTATATTAGCTCAGTTCTATTTTTCATGACAAACTGGAAAGGAATGCCTACGAGTTTTTGCTGCAGAGTACATAATAAATTAATCCATCTAGCTAGAGTGTCAGGTATTGTCATCCCTACTTCAACAAGTTTTTACTTTTAAGTCTTTAGACTATTGAGAGATATGCATTCGTGATGTTCCATTCAATGAGAGAATAATAAGGTAGATTTGCTCAATATGATATCTTTGTAAATCTTTACTAATAGTACAAACTGATCATCGGTTATCAAAATTGAAGGAATTAACTGCAATAAAGAGTATTAATTGTTAAATTACTTCATTAATAATATATCTTATATATAGATACTGCTATGAAAACCACTGTTTGATTGAACATTTACTTTATTTGCAGAATAATTTACTTTGATGTATCAGTACCGTAAAGAAACAAAAATATTCATTAATTATATAGGTAAAATACGAAATCTTACATAATGTTATTTGTCACTTATGGGTATGAAAATAATTTAAATAATCCAACCATTCAAGCATGGTTAAATAGCCAAAATGATCATTTTTATCCTGAATCTGTCCATACCTGAACCAACAGTAAATCCAGATTGTTATAAAATATAACAAATGCAGTGGTAATAAAGCAGATAATCTACTATGGTTGCCACGACATGATTCATTTTTAAAATTCCTACATTGTTATGAACGATTATTAAATGGATAATATTAAT